GCACGCACATCAAAGCTCTCACTGGGGGGAAAGAAAGTCGCACATTGTCGTGTCGGTGATTGCACACAATGTGCTGTATATACATCCCACTCATTATGTACATGAAAGCAGCCAGTAGGCTCGGTTCACACCAGAATGTAGAGAAACATGCGCACGCTGTGGACAGCTGCCAAAACACACAACTCTCACAACACCGTGAGCTGCACCACAATAACAAGTATTTATTTATATGTCTTCGTATTTAGCCGGGGAACGCCACACCGAGATATCTGCTCCTCCTTTTGGGGGGTCCGAGCCACTCGGTGCATCTATTGCATGTTTCTGAAATGTATGTAGGAGATAATTCCTCCAATTTAAATGTAATGCACAACACTTTGTCGAACGGGTCAGGGTGCATAAACACAATCTCCTGAGAGAGTTAGCCCCCCGGCACGCTTAATGTATTGATTTTACAGCGCTGTGCCATGAGAGGAGAAAAAAAAACTATTTCATGAATTCCAATGAGACTCCTTTACCAGACTGCTACGAAAAGAGCGAAGCACAATCACCACAACGCAGAATATGTCATTGTGTTCATTGCTTGTATAATGCATTTCTTTTAGATTCGTGCTGGGGGGTGGGCGCTGAGGGTGGGGCGGCCGCCAACGCTTTAATCTCACTCAGTGTAAAGAGCACACGTCTGCACACGCAGCAGCTTTATCTTGATTCTACATGTTGTTGCATTCGTTTATACCACGACGGACAAGTTACAGCGTTCTGGTGCTTTTCATGGTCGTGAAAAAGCTCCTCTTCAGTTTATTTGCTTAATAAAAAATGAAAAAAATAAAAATGTCGGCCACTTAAACCGCAGCAATTACATGTTATTTGCAATTAGCTAATACCTCGTGTCTGTTAAAGGGCTTCGCCTGATGATCATTTCCCAAATTAATCAGAGTTTGGATGATTTTTTTATTCTATAATCAAAAAAAAAGCTCATCACGGGTTCGTGGACACGAATATTGATTATTTTGTCCGACTATCAGTCTAAAACAAAAAGCTGATTTATCTTAAGACAACATGAGATGGAGCAGTGATTCCTCACATTTCAGAAACTAGAATTTAAAACTCATCAGAGCAAAGTCGGTTTGATTAGAGGACACGCCTCGACTGAACGTGTGGTCACGTTATTTTCAGTCTCTTCATCATTTTAGTCCAGGCCTGTTTCATGAGTTTGTTTTTTAAAATAATTCTGTTGAACCACGATTCAAAAGCAACGTCTGATTTTCTTTGGTTAATTTTCATAGAATTTTTATTTATTATTACTTTTTGTCAGATTCCGGTTATTTCTGTGACGGTTGTGGGTTTTTCTTCCATTAACCGAGGAAACAATTTTGTCCAATTCAAGTTTATACAGTCAGAAATGTAAAAAAAAACAACAAACAAATCAGTCGAAATGTAAAAATAGCTTTAAATCTAAATGTACTTTTACGTTTGATATGTTTGAAGCAGCTCCTTGTCGACTTGCGTGGCCAGTAGCCGCCGGTACGATGTGGTATCTCATGTTTTAGAAGGTGTGACACTTAAAAACCTGGACGTGATGGACGTTAAACTGGCTGCTTGTACGTCTCAGACTCGAGCTGATCTTCTGTAATGAGCTGTTCACAGGAGCTGACGCGTCCTCACACAAACCTGACGTCTGAACTAAAGCAGCGCCTCTACCTTTGAGGGGTCGGCGGCGAGATATCGACTTTGAGTGAATCCGCCGGCTGATGGTTTTGCGGCGGCGGGGGGACGGGCCGGCGCCGGGGCTCTGTTCGGCACCAGCCAGGCCCATCTGCTTGTCACCTGGCCTTGGCATGCAGGAGACTGGGTAATGACAGGGAAAGAATGGCATCAGTGGGCAGAAGCTGAGAGGTAATTACTGACTGGAATCCATGCAGAAACAACACATCTGGATCCATGAGTCAAAATGTGGAGAATTATACGCTGATACCGGCCTCAATTCGTGATCTTTATCTGTCAGAGCGGCGGCGCGGCGTATCAGCCCGGAGACTGAAAATCCTTGACTCCATCCCGGCTCTCTCTGATCCTGATGTTCTCTGCTCAGAGGCACAGAGAAAATTCAATTGTACTCGAGGCAATGGAAAGGGAGAGAAAGAGCTGATACACCAAGACAATCTGAGTGGAAGATCAGCCACGGCAGCGCGATGGCGCCGGCGCTGAGTGACGCTATCCGGGCTCATGTGTTGCTCTTCCTCACTCCATCACTGCTCGCACATTCTTCTTAAACCCCATTACTGCTGATCAATGCTGCCTCTTTCACAGCTGGAGAGAAATGATCTGCTTGAAAGTCATATTTTCTCAGCATATTTTAGGGCCAAAGCTCGCACAGTGCTCCATTGTGCGGTCTTACATTGGTGCAGCTGAAGATGACCCATAATGACTGAGTAATAGAAGTCTGCATTGCCTTATAATTAACATTTAGCCCCCTCAAAATAACTTCAAGTCCCATTAAAGGGCCATTCTGCTCTGTGAGAAATAGACTGACCACAGAAGTTAATGAAATCCTGCAGTTGGTCTGTGGGCATCAGCCGTCACCAAATGACCCTCCTTCAATCTCCAGACGGGGTGTCTCCATCCAGCAGCCTGAGGGAGCGGAGACGTGAGCCACATTCTGACCGACTCTCAGTGCTGCATCGATGATCGCTTTCACAAACGGCGTCCTCTCGAAAGAAAGCAGCCCCCACCGTGTGGAGTCTGGGCTCGCTCCTCCTCTCCCTCTCAATGCCTCAAATTAAGATTTCAGTAATTAAATTGATAAAAGTCATGCATGCCAATATGCCTCATGGTTCCAGACCTGATTTCATACGCCACACAGCTGTGGAGAGCTGTGGAAGTTCTACCTTTGATGTGGCATTCTTTATTATTGAAAATAATTGGATTCTCCCTCCTCCTCCTCCTCCTCCTCCTCCTCTTCCTCCTCGCCCTCTCTTACACTCAGACGTTCTGCCCGTGTTCACTCTGGGCATGCTCAGTTAATCGACCTCTTGCGAGGCAGAGCTGGTGCCGAGTCCCCGTTCCGTCTGGGGGTCTCGGGCGGGTTTTGCAGCCGAGCGGGGCCCGGGTTGCGTCTGGAAAAGCGATTTGAGCGGCCCAGGCGGCGCGCTGAGAGATGTCACTTCAGCACAGGTCAGGGGTCGCGCTGCAGGTTGGGCCGGCGGCTGCCAGGGAGTGGGCGGCTGGCGGTGAAACCCACCGGGCCTCCGCGGCTCTACCTCCGTATCAGCTTGGCCGAGCATAAGAAAAGAGGCTCTCTGGCCCACAGGCAGCTGGCTTCTCTCCACACTCAGCGGAATGGCTGATAATCAGCAGAAAGAGACCCCTGATGATTACTCTGCCTCCGCCTAGGACGGCTGCTAACTGCCTGCCTGCCTGCTCGCTCCTCAGAATGTCAAGCTCACATCTGAAGCCCCCGTCCTCATAGAAAAGCCTGTAACGTCCATCAATCTCTGCTCTGTTTGTATCGGTGCTAAATGCGAATTTAATTGCTACTGGAAGAGACTGAGGGAGGTTTTGATTTCCTCCTGTATGTCATCCTCTATCGACGCCGGACAGCCGTGATGCGTGCACCTCTTCCAGGATGCTAGTGGTCCAGCTAGTCCAGCTCATCCTGCCTCGTGGGCCTCGAAACAACCACAACAGCCCCGTTTCAGGAGTCGCTGAAGTAAAACAGTCTGAGGCAGCTTCCCCCCCCGATATAAAGCCACCGCCGGAGTAAATAATGTGTTTGACGCCCAACCGATGAGTCATGGACGGAGCAGAACATCAGCTTTCTTATTTTACTGACAGCACTTAGCTCAGCGCGGCGCAGGTCAGCAGCTCTCAGACTGCTGCTTGACGAGTTTAAATCAGTTTCAAGTGAGTAAAAATAAAGGATGTTGGACTGCAACAAAAAAAAACGTCTTTTATGAGTCATTTCTTGTTATTAATTGAAAAAAAACACAATCTTAGCTCCTACAGTTGAATATTTCTATTTATAGAGATGATTATTACCTTTAACCACCTTTGTCTCTATTTATAAAAATGAGTGTGTTTCAAAAATGAAGTTATGGAAACACTCCAAATAAAGTTTCTGTGGTTTGAAAGGATTTGGTGCAACTTCTTTTTTACATTACAATTTTTTAAGGGATACAGCGATAACGTTTCTGTGTTTAGGATTTTCATTTTTCTGGTGATTAATTGCACTTTTTAGCAAGTTAATTAGTTAATATGAACTTATTGCATACATATTATTTAAAAAATAGGGATGTAAGGGTTGTATTGATGGATAGCAATTTCAAAAAATGGATCTGCAGCATGTAAAAATGTAAAAAATATGCTTAAGTCCAGGACCAAATAACCTTGAGGATGCTGGAGACAGAATGTGTTATCGGTTTTAATGGCAATAAGAACGACTACGTGACACTTAATTAAGCCTTTAAACTCTACGATTCCCAAAACTTCAACAGCTTAAATGTGCTGTTGATATCAGTAAAGCTAAAACAGAAAGAATTAGATAAATATGTCTGACAACACTGATGACTAACGACTGACTCCAGCCTCTGTTGACACGGCGTGGAAGATGCTTTTATTTCTCATCAGCAGCCTCGTGCGGTTCGGAGGTTGTGCGGCTCAGTGCAGGCCATTGTACCAAATGTGTTATTATACACTTAGACCATGAACTAGTAATTACTTTGGCTTATGCGGTAATTATTTAGAGGAGGCATTGTTACGCGGCAAAGAGGACTATCTGTGTTGAAGTCAGATGACAGTAGCCGCAGCCAACACTGAAGTATATAACAACTTATTAACTCTTCTAAGCGCATAAGCCTTTTCAGTATTCTGTAGCTTAAGTGGGCTCAGCCTTGGTTGCTCCATATCATCGCGGCTCAGCTCACGCAGACTCCGGCTTCTTTCTTTAGTGCAATTTTCAGAGATTATGGGAGAAAATTAAAGCCCGTCCTTTGTGTCTTTTGTGGCAGGTATATCCAAGGTGCATCGTCTCCAAAGGACATGGTCATCATTGTGGATGTGTGAGTATCTCCCTGCTCCCTCTGGCTGGAGTGTGCTTCACGTCTCCTTCAAAGGGCGCTAGTGCCACCTGTTGGTCTGAAGAAAGGCTAAAGAGCCAGGAAGATGATTGCTGCTCATCATCTGAGCACCACGAGCCATTCCACTGCTGCCCACAACATGCAGGAAACACTGGATTTGGCTCTAATTTCTGAGAATAGAATTGTTGAACCTGTAAAACACGTAGGAGCCTCTGAGGATTTCAGCCTGTCTTCATCCTATCACTGCAGGAGTGGAAGTGTCAGCGGACTCACCCTGAAGCTCATGAAGACCTCGGTGGTGGAGATGCTGGACACGCTGTCGGACGACGACTACGTCAACGTGGCCAGGGTGAGTCACGAGTTTGCAGATCATGATTCTCTATTAATGATACAAATCACTGCGGAAAGTATTACCGCAAATATTAGCTGTGTTCATTAAGCAGGTGGTAATCGAGCAGGGAGCCGGCGTGTTGATTCTGCTCCCAGTTGTTTGGTTGTAGTGGAAACAGTGGCCTTCCCTCATTAACCGTGTGTTTGCTCTGCTGTCCGTGTGGGATTGCGTCCGTCTGTCTCTTTCACTCTCTGCTGATTACCCGGTTTTCTATTAGGACTAATGTGTAGGAGAATATTAACATTATTCTATAATGCAGGGCTGATAACACACACACACACACACACACACACACACACACATAAACGTGTCCACTCGCTCGGCGTGGCGGCTCTGTTTGTAGACTCCCTCCAGTAATCCCTCATAATCCGTTGCTCTTAGCCACTGTGTGCGTCTAAATCCCAGCTCTAAGAGCCAGAAATGAGCATCGTAATCTGGGTGAGAACGCATCTGATTTCCACCCCTGGAAATGAAATGAGGGCTTAAAAAAAATGAATTATTTGCCAGAACTGAAAATATTTGTCAAACACCGTCTTCTGCGTCCGGATGCTTCTGCATGACAAACTACGGCCTCACTTCTAATTAGCTGTAATGATATATTCGATGGTGGCGTTTTTAATTGATCACAGATAGTAGATGTAAGCCTGTTTCAGAGCTGCTGAGTTTCTGAACATTTGGGTGAATCTGTGCCTCTGAATACTTTTTCTTTTCTTGATTTCTTTGTCTGCTGGTTTGAATACGAGACACCAGCCCGTGAGAAATGTCAGCGTTTCTCACGCACGACGTTTTGCATCAATCTGTCCTGAAAATGTCAGAAGATTGTGAAGCTGACCTTCAACAGGAAACAACATCTGAAACTTGCTATTACAGACATCGCTGCTAATGTTGTCACGATGCACAGACACAATAGAGTTCAATCCAAAATTATTTATTGACAATTTTTGATTTATTCAGAATTTTTATTTGACGAATACACAAAGAAGTGACAAAAGACGGTTAGACGTTGTGCTAGAGGTGAATTTTAACCGTCTAAAATGCACTTCCTGCATCAGAAATCAACCGTAAGGCCTTTATTTGCCACCAAACAGTTCCTATAGTTGTTAACTTCTGCTTCTCTGTGAGCTTGGAAGGTTTTCTTGCCTCGTCTTCAGTTCCCGCCGAAGATTCTTGACGGGATTCAGATCTGACCGAGAAACTGTTTTCCTCCAGAAGAAGTCTTCTCTTCATACGATGCAGTTTATTTTAACGAGACTCCCCCAGAGCGTCACATTCCCTCCACCACGCTGACGACTTGATGGTTTTCTTGGAGCTGGATGATTCTTTCTTTTACCAAATGAAAACCACATCCCTGTATCCAAAAATACTCTAGCTCTGTTTTCTCCAACCACAAGCTTCATCCAGGTGAGCTTTTGGGAGAAGCGACGTCCTCTTTGGTCTCTGCCTTGACATGCTGGTAGCAGAACTGCTTCATTAGGACGGCTTTGTTGGTGATCCCTGGATTCTTGGTCTACCCTTCTTGCCAGTGCAGGTTTCACTTCTGGCCTCCTTCCACGCCCTTCGGTGTTCTCCACGGCGTAGAGCTCCTTGTACTTGTTGGTGATGCTGAGCACCGTGGCCACTGGCACTTGAAAACACTTGACTGTGGCTTTATAGCCTCTCTGTGTGAGGAGCCAAAGTGCACAACTCTCTGTCAGTGATGGACAATAATTGCGAGCTCGCTAAGCTCTCGGTTTTAGCCCGGACTTATAATTGACTGGTAACTGACTGGAGAACCACTGCATCAGCTGCACTCCATTTGTAGGGTATTAAAGATGCTCTAGAGCGCCGTGGACACGACCAGGACCGTTTGGGAACTTACATGTTCTCAAAAATTTGCAGCGATTTTAAGAGGTAGCAATAATTTTGTAGTAAAAATGTTAAAAACCGTTTAGCTCCATCACTGACGTCTCTAACACAACGCCCGGCCGCCTTTGTCACTGCTTGTGTTATTTCCTGCTGCCAGAAAAACAAGCTATTGTTTCAATAAAACTCTGCTATAAATCACACTTTGGCAGGGCGACGGATCATTTTAGGCTTAGCCGTATACATGACACACACACACAAACCTGCCCGCGCGCACACACGGTTTTAGGCTAATTTGGTGGATGCAATGAGACAGATGATATTACCTTGGCTGGCTTTCCGTTCGCTGCGTTGCGCTGGTGTTTCAGGTGCACCTGTTCTTTGTGTGGAAAGTTGTAATTACCAGCGTTTACTGCCAGCCAGAGAGTCGCAGGGCAGCTTACATCTGCACACACCCACGTCTGCATGCTGCCGCCGCCACGCACACACATGGCACACAGGAACACACAATCTTCCAACAGTTGGACTCATGCTTTTAACTTGTGCAGATTGTGTTGTGTTTCTAGCAGGAAGGTCAGCGTGCATCCTGCTCACACTCTGCTCTGCCTTCATCTGTGCCCCTCCAGTTCAACGAAAAGGCCGACGCTGTTGTTCCCTGCTTCAGGACTTTGGTTCAAGCCAACGTTCGCAACAAGAAGATCTTCAAAGAGGCCGTCATGCATATGCAAGCCAAAGGAACCACGGATTACAAGTCTGGCTTCACGTTCGCCTTTGAACAGCTTTTAAACGTAAGAGCCAACAAGCCTTTCAGGGAGAGCCCATCCAAGAGCGCACGGTTTGTCTGACGAATCATGTGCTTCAGTGGAGTCGTGAACAACATGCTGGAGCTACACCACGTCGGCCCAGCGTGTTATTACGCATCCTGCCAGGGTTACTGTCTGGTCCAATTAATAAAAGTGAATCTACAACAATAACACAACGCTGACAGCAAGTGGCTCAAGTTTGCATAAGACGTTTCCAGAGCGCTGTCACTGTTGAAGGTGGCTCTGATTATAGCTGCTGCTGCTGTGACGCTAGCTCCTGCAGCAGCCAGCACAGCAGCGATGGCTGTCAGCACCGGGCGTCCACGTGCTCCCGACACAGGTGCTGCCTCAGCGCCGTATGCTGCTGTGTATTTTAGGAGGCTGCCACCCTAATGGGCTCTGATGGGATGATTGATGAGCACAGCCCAGAGGAGATCAGCCACAGACACTTTATATTCCTCTGGTGGGCTCGGAGGCATAGAGCCAAGTCTCACCCCCACACCCCCGCTCCACCCTCCCTTTTGCCAGCAGAATGAGAAATAAAAAGGGCCCTTTAATCGCTGTCTGCAGCCGACTCACGGCCGTGATTGGTGGCAGAAGCACAATAAAAATATGTAATTGTGGCGGTATTATTTATCATTATTAGAATCTTGTCAGATTGACATGCTGCTGGCCTGCATATCAATGGCAGCTGCCACGCTGGGAGGGGGGGTTTGGCACCGAAAAAACAGATTTAATGCCAGAATAATGTTGTGTACTTGAGATGCATTTCCAAAATGATGCTAATATTACGACGCCTCTCCTACAAACGAAGACACCTGAATGATGAAGAACGGCAGCTGGAGGCTTGTAGATGGATCTGCTGCAGGATTAGATTGATATCTGGAAAAAGAATAATGCACGCACACGTTTCACGAAGCAGTGAGGAGTTACGGCGACTTATGCATGCAAAGTTTATGAAATGTTTATGTGCTGCCTGTGAAAGTTAAACGGAGGCGGCGGGGATGTCATCACGTTGTGTAAACAGACTTCACATCATCACGTAACCTGTGTCCCCGCTTTGTTCTCATCTCTTTCTTTGGTCTTCTCCTCCTCCTCCTCCTCGTCGTGGCCCACAGGAGACCAGTGCCCCCAGGGCCAACTGCAACAAGATGATAATGATGTTTACAGATGGCGGGGAGGATCGCGCTCAGGAGATCTTTGAGAAGTACAACTGGCCCAACAAAACAGTGAGTGTGTCTCCGAGGCTGTTATCTAGTCGACGCTTCGTGCATGTCCAGGAACTGTCTCCGGCGCTCCTTCCTCTCTCCCAGTTTCCCCTGTTTTCTGCTGACACCGTCTCATTATAGCTCCGGCAGTTGTGTTGCTTCGACTGTCATACATGCCAAGCGCTCCAATCTGTGCACACAGCGTCCTCTCCAAGCCGGCTGGGCTTTTTTATCTCTGCAGTCTTTCTTCAACTCCCTCTCTCTCGCTCTGCTTTTCTTTCTTTCTCTCTCTTCCTGCGTCTCTTTTGTTGTTTGGCTGCTGGTGTTAACAGCTCTGACCTGCTGACTAATTGGCCACTTTATCATCAGAGCCTATAATATTACAGCCAGCAGATACTCCACCAGTTTGTGTCTTTGTTCGTGTCTTGTTGTCACTTCCACCCCTCCATTACCCCGTTTCACAACCCCGGCAATATTAATTCTGATATCCATTACTGTCCGGTTCCCTCGCGACGGCCGCTGTCGTAAAGGAATAATCTGCTGTTTAACGGCTCCATCGTTGTTGGAGATGGTCGCGCGAGTTGACTTGGAGGCTAACGAGGCCGTAGTCCAGATTTGAGTGTAATATTTTTCCAGTTGTCTTATGTTATTTGTCTTTTTCTTGGACCAGGTTCGTGTTTTCACCTTCTCCGTTGGCCAGCACAACTACGACGTCACACCTTTGCAGTGGATAGCGTGCGCCAACAAAGGTGAGTTTGTTTTTATGTGTAAATACAGAGTAAATGTATGTTTTAAAGGGGTGCCGCTGTGGCTGAAGAGGTCACATAGTTTAGCAGTTTGACTCCTCGTGTCCAGATAATGAAGTGTGCATCACAGCGGGAGTCCTGAATTGATTGATCGGCACATTTCCCATCATGTGACCTGGTTCTGGAGAGCGCTCATGCATAGGTGTGGTCTCTTAATCTTCTCACAATAACCGAAGTGTCGTGAATGTGAGCTTGGTAAAGATGTGTAGGTTAGATTAGCTACACCTCTGACTATCGCAACTAAAGCTATCACACGTGTAACGTCTAATGAACACCACTTCTTCTCCCAGTTCTGTCCTGTGCTCGTAACCAAAACATCGAGTCGTACAGATACAGGAAGAGCCGTGCCACCGATAGCAGAAGGCGCAGTTGTCATCCTTAAAAAACAAAAATCTGTTTTCACAACCTTGAATTGGAAAACAGGCTCAGACGGTCCACAAACTCCTCCGGACAGTGTCCAAGGAGAAAAACTTGCTTCTAAAATGGCACCAAACTGCAACGCTTCAGCTTTGCCAGAGAACATGAAAGGAGGCCTGATGAGCGTTGGCAGAGCGTCCTCTGGTCAGAGGAAACCGAAATAAATACGCTTGGATCAGATGGGGTCCAGCATGTTTGGTGTAAACCTTGCAGGACTGTGAGATGCGGAGGAGGGAGTGTGATGGTGCGGGGCTTCACGGGTGCAGAAGGTGGAGGAGAGGGAGCAGTAATAGATGGCACTACGAACACTAGCTCGTGTGCTCAGATCCTGACTGGAGAGATGACTCACAGCAACGAGAAGCCGGCAGGAGAGGAGTTTCTGAACATAGCAGTGATCCCAAACACACTGTGACAACCACACAGGAGCTTTTAAAGGAGGAAAAAAGTGAACTATGACTTAGCCGAGAACGTCTCCCCCCGACTCGCATCCAACAGAACACCTCTGGAGTGTTTTAAAGTAGAAGGTAGAGCAGCAAAGCCCCTCCAGCAACGAGCAGCTGAAGAGAATCATCTGTTAAAGGATGGCAGAATATCTCTCTGCAGAGCAGAGCTATCATCCACGACCTGGAGGATTCAGTCTGTCCGCAGAAATAAAGGCGGACAAAAGAAATTAAAAGAATCTCTCTTCTGCTGCTTAATTATTTCATATTACATTCAGATCGGATAGCTTAATTTTAACATGACTTTAGCTAAAAAAAAATAAAAACGCATTAAATAAATAGGTTGTGTAATCTGGTGAGTGGTGAGAGTGCCAAATTACAAAAATAAATCAATAAAAGAAAAAGGATAATAAAAGTTAAAAAAAAATATTGTGGCAGCATAAAGCAATATTAATCAAAAATGAATCCATAAAAGAAAAGGCTAATAAAAGTAGAAATATAAAGACAAATAAACAAACCAATAAAAATAATAAGAATTTATTTTTATTGATTTATTTTCTTTTTCATTTTTTAAAATTATTTTTTAAATGTATTTTAAAATAATTTTTTTAATTTATATTTTTTTTTATTTTTATCTTATTTTTTTTCTTTTATAATGTCATTTTAAAAGTAAAGGAAATATACGTAGAAAGATGTGTGCAGTAGGAATGTCGTTTTTCTGCGCATATTTCTTTTGCTTTTAAAGCGACATAATAAAAAATATATAAAATAAAAATGAAAAAATTATATAAAATAATTTAAATAGTTAAAAAAAATATTTGTCTTTATATTTCTGCTTTTATTTGCCTTTCCTTTTATGGATTGATTTATTTTTGATTTTTATTTATTTTTTATTTGATTCATTCTTCCTTTTATTTCCACTTTTATTTTATTATTCTTTTATTGATTTATTTTTTTGTAATTTGGCACTCTCACTACTCCATAGAGATGCCTTATAATGATCTAAAACAAGTCCTTCAGACCCACATGCTAATTTCCAGTTGTGTTTTCTTGCAGCCTGTAGTGGTTTAACCTCTCACTGTGCTGTAGTGATGTCCATTAAAGTCTGTGGCGATACAGAACCACACCCAGAACCGGCTCCAAGCTTTCAACCTGGAAATGCATTAAAGCTGCTTTCAGTCTGGTATTAAGTTACTCGTCGACTTCCATATAAAATAATGCTTCACTGCATGCGGAGCTGAAATCAGGTTATTAGTCTGCAGTGGCCCTAAAATAACCCAGAGAACAGACAGACAGCTCTGACCAGCAGCCCGGATGACTCAGGCCCGGTTAGCGGCATGAATCTCATCTCCACTTGGCTCAGTAGGTCCGGCCCAACTCGCTGTTTATGGCTCGGTTTTGAACCTTTGTTTTTTTATTTTTTAAGTTCACAGCCCACCTCTCTTCCTGCCTTTTGTGATTTAATATTGTTTCTCAGCGTTGCGGTTTATCTGAAGCCTTTCTGAGGGTTTTAGCTGTCTGCTGATTAGCTTATTGCCAGTGGAGCCAAGTGCTTCAGAAGTGTCTCCCCAGAAGTTGTTATTAATTAGCAGGAGTCGTCTGGTAGCGGGATGATTACCATGCCATCTCCCTGTCAGGCCGGGGAAAGTCCAGGATTATGCCTCTGTGCCAACACGCTCTCTGCTGTTCAGGCCTGCAGTGATTAGCGTGCTACTAAAGTCTATGCCAGCGTAAGACAATAGTGTTGACACGCCAGCCTCAATGGAGCTGTCCTCTCATATCTGCAGCTCTTATTACTCTTTGGTATCTGGCTCCAGCAGAGCCGGCTCCCTGACACCGGCAGGCCCTAACCCTTCACCCGTGACATGGCACAAACACACACAGCCGGGCCACTTGGAGATGCTGCCTGTTGTCTCACTTGAGCTGCAGTCCTAAGAAGAGAGTAGCCTCCCTGTGACTCTGAGGACAATGAGACGCTCTCGCCGTGCTCTCACCAAATCCACAACAGAGAAGAAAGTTATCTTCAAAAAAACAGGTGAAACGGAGGATAGAAGCAGCAAATACCACACAGCGCCGCGGCCGCTCCTAATGCCGCCGCTAAAGTGCTGCTTTTAATCCGGAGCTGGGAGTAAAATATGGTATGAATTTGTGATGGCCATCAACAGGAGAGCTAAAATCAATTACAGCATGAAATGAGCTGCAAAGGTTTACTGGGTGAGCTCCGGTTGTCTCTGGGAAAGTCCTGATAAATAAAAAAACCTGGATGTGAACAGAGAGCGATGCTCACAATGGACTCAGCAAAGACTAGAGACGATAAAGAAAACATAAATACATGAAGGTAAAAAAGGCTGATTTCTGATCTGTTTCCGGCTCAGTGCACACGAGGCAGAAAAAATCCTGTTTGTTTTCTTACATTTGTGTCCAAACTGACCCGAATGACTTCATTAATGTGAAGATGCCGTTTGAACACAGCTGACATTATGTAAATGAGTTTGACAAAGAAAATGGGTTATTGATTGAGTTCATCATTGATCCTGGCTCCGTGTTGTTAACCTGTGGATCAGATCTACGTCCTGATCCTTACCTACTGCCTGCCTTCTCCTCTCTCCACCTTTTGTGCCGCTCTGCTCTGTAACCACTCGGCTGGCTCGCGGCCAGAACGCCGGGACTGAGCACGACTAGAACAAATAGCTGTGCCCTGAATGCCAATGTGCACGTGTGAACGGATGTGCATGCGTAATGCTCACATGTGCTCATAAACCAGACAGAGAGCGCTGTGAAAAAGTGCATAATGTATGAAAGTAATGAAAGCTATCTGTGCCTCTTAACATTCTGGGGATGCTGCCTCCGTTCCGCCGCTCTTTGTATAAACACTCGTGGCTTTAATAACTTGGGGAGCGGCGTGGTTATTGACCCAGTCGGTCATTCTCCTCCATTCCTAATCAGCAGCAGCGCTGCCTGGGGCTCCGCATTCCCAATGAGCCTCCACATTTACATCCTGCGGCGCCACCGCCAGTGTGTGCGGGGAGGTCAGCGGCCGCCGGCTCCGGCAAGCCTGCGTGACCAAACGCCATCAGCCGGGGATGATAGTACCACTTGTACCTAATAACACGAGGAGATTAGAGTCCAATCTGCAAATGGATCACTTTTGCACACACCGTGACAGTTTAGTGCTCGGAGGTAGAATGTGACTCAGGTGTGCCGGCTGGATGCTGTATTGATTCTCTCCTCTTCATCTTCAGGTTACTACTTTGAAATTCCATCCATCGGCGCCATCAGAATCAACACCCAGGTAAGCTACACGGACGAGCTACACCTTCACACAAAATAATGACGGAGCAGCTGGTTCAGTCCAGCTCAAACTGTGGAGACCTTGGAGGTTCGATGGACTGATGGTCCTGGAGTATAAGGCTTTCAGATCTTCCCTCTCCTCCGTCTGTCACACACACTTTGAGCTAGCATTGAGAGGCCCTTGGGATAACCTCATTCCAGCTGTAGAACATTTACTCAGTTGTTCGGTGGTGGTGGAGCTGCTGCTGCTGCTGCCCTCCTCCTCCTCCTCTCCTACCTCCTCCTCCCTCCCCTCCAGCCCCGGTGAGCGATCAGGCCCTAGAATAGACTGTCAGCTGTTCCATTAACTCTGGCATATTTATATTCTGAGAACTGCCACTTACTCTAATAGGTTTTCTGAAGGTGGGTGACTACAGCGCTCCGCACAGGCCCTGAAGACACATCGGGGCCTTCTGTTATTTAACCGCACTCTGCCCTTCAGTATCACACACTCATCACACAGTCGCACTTCAGCAGGATGCTCAAACAGCAGACGGCAAACATATTTTTATGCACGCTGTCCTGAGTCATGTGTAGGATTAGAGGATGCTCTGAAGTTTTAATTCGTCTGTTGTGGTGCGATAATAACAGATTCTGGTCTTTCACTTACGATACTCGGGGACCTTTGGACCACATATCTCTGGTTGCTGACTTTTTATGTTTCCTAGATTGTTCTAGTCAGGCGGAAAATTCCCCCCATATCCCGTGAAAAGGTCTGGCTGTCACTGTCCTGATGGAATATCTCCCTGTGGCGCATTAAACCGGACTTTTATTGAGCTAATAATAGAATAGGTTACGCCTGTCAGCACCTCGCTGCTCAGACGATGGAAAACAAACGGTCAGGAGCGTAATGCTGGAATAGCAGCGCGCTCGTACGGGGCAGCCCTTTTGTGTATCAGGCATAGATGATGGCAAGGGTCAGACATTTGCGATAACAGTTCCCTTTTCAGCGCTAAATGGATGGAAATTAGTCATTATGAGGGAACGGCTAATGTTTTTCAAATGAACACTCGACCCCCGGAGGACCTGCTGCTGCTGTTTCTGCTGATTCTGGTTTCGCATTTGATGGTATTGTGCTGAAACTTGTAAATATTGGCATCAGTTATATTTAGATTCCATTTTCCGTCCCTGTTCTTTACATTAACAGAGGATGCGACCGTCCTTTTCCAGCAGAGCAGCTCCTTCCCGTGTCAGGAGGTCACTCGCTCGATAATTTCACCAATTTCACGCAACCTCCAAAAGGACACGGATCGATAGGTTGTTTACCAAATAAGACGTCTCAGCTGCTGCGTACGGAGGCTCCTGAGAACAATAGGATGTGGCGCCTGTGATGTATTGCTGGTGGACTTAACCCCTCACCTCCATCCACCGTCGCTGTGGGACATTGTCACAGCGCCGGCGCTGACAGTAGCGCCTCTGGGAGAAACGGCGTGTTTGCACGTCGTGCCATTGACACCCGTAATGTGTTTTTAATAGCTCCTTCATAATGATGAAAAACGGCCTTGAGTGGCTCAGGACCGGAGGCTTTATGGCTCGGCAGGACCGGGACGCCGCTGGTGGCGGCCCGCTGCTTTATGTGGTGATAGAGACGAGGCCGGTCAGGGTCTTGTAGTTTTATGACAGATGAACGTTGGGAGGCTCTTCCAGCTCTCTGCCTTTAACGCCGCGACATGACAAGGGCTATAAATGTCCGTTTGATTATGTGTGTTTATTGTGGGCGGTCACTCTGCCGTGTGTGTTGTTGCTGCTGCAGGAGTACCTGGATGTTCTGGGCCGTCCCATGGTGCTGGCCGGAAACAAGGCCAAGCAGGTGCAGTGGACCAACGTCTACCAGGACGCGCTGGTGAGTCAGAACATCATCTCACAGGTTTTTAGAATAGAATAGAAATGCTTTATTAATCCCCAAGAGGAAATGTTGTTCACACAAGCACAAAGATAAAGTTCCCACCATAAACACAGATAAATAAGCAAAAATAAACAATAAGAACATATAAAATGTGCAATAGGTGTAATATGTCAAGTAGAAAAGTCCTGTGTAGTGATGTGCAACGAGAGTACAGCAGAAGTGTGCAAATCATTTTATAATAATTTATTACCAGAAACAGAAACAGAAGGAATTGTCAGATTGTCCCTAAACTCTTCTCTGATGTGATGATCTTTCAGAAAACTTCACCAAATCCCAGCTTAGAATTGTGATATTTCATCAAAATCACTCCATTGCATGCGTCTCCTTTAAAAAGAACATTTACACAAACCATATTCTGGGAAAAAAATGAAAAAACTAAATATTCAGTACTTCTCAGCACAACTGAGAATCCACTGGTGACTCAGCCGTGAAAAAAAAGAGAAAAATTCAGGAGTTTTCAACTAAATTTTAACTTAAAATCAAAATTGTAGGCAGTGAAAAACATCTAAAGTATGTTGAGTCACGATTTCCTCCAGTGTTGGTCACACCTGTGGAAAAATGTTGTACGTGTTGATTCCATTATGATCATTATTTTTATTATTTTCTAGATTTGTTTTCATTTTTTGTAAAATTAAAAAATACAAAAATTCACCTTTCATTTTTCCCCTTTTTTCTGATTTATAATATTTGTTAAAGTGCACAAAAAACATTTGAAGTTGCTCTAATTCTACCCATGGTTGTGCTGTTTCTATGGATGTGTAGGAAAAACAAACACAGTGAGTGAAAATGTGATAGAAGCAAAACAAACGCCCACAAACTACTTTTTTTTTCTTTTTTTCCAGAAGTTTTTTGCACCAGAAATAATTTTCACTACAGAAGCAAACAAACTGCTTGTTTCAGAGGGTTAAAGTAATATGTAGAGGATTTTACACAAACTTAAACTTAGATATTTGTGACTAAACACAGTTTCTGGTAACGTGAAGATAAATGTAAATTCAGTACTTTCTGAATTCTTGAATTTGTAAAAAGTTTCTGTCTCATATTTCAATAAGGACAATACATCAATATATACGTTAAATATAAATTATTACATCACGGTTTAGGTTCCTTAATGACTAAATCCTGCAGGTGTTTGCGGCACCGAAGCCCTGAAACGTTTATCATGTTCATTTTAAACTGGGCCAGATGTTTGTGTGTATCAGCTTCAGAGACGTTTCTAACTGGATGTGTTCCTTCAGGGTCTGGGCCTCGTCATCACCGGGACGATGCCGGTCTTCAACCTCACTGCTGATGTCGTCAGCGTTAAGGTAAGAACACCTCTGCTCGTTATTATTATGTAAGATCAGGGTTTTTATGCTCATTCTGGTGGGTGAGGAAGCCTGAAGCTCCTCAGAGACACACATCAGAGCTCCAGGTTTCATTCTGAGCCTCCTTCCTGCTGTTGACCGTCATCAATCATGTGTGATGGCGTCCACCCGGCTGCTGCTCTTCGAGGCAACACCTCCCCCCTGAGGTGGCAGCAGACACCGCAGCAGCCCGTCTGTGGTATCTGCCAACGTCCACAGAGCACATCGAGTATCCGTGAGCAACGCACTCGCTCTGAGCTTATCGCACTGGCTTAAAGCGACGAGGCTGCAGCACAACCGACTCGCTCTAAGATAGACTGTGGAAGTACGGACTAATCAGATTGTGATAAGTCAGGGATGGTATAGAGCTGTTCTGAGCAGGCTCTCTGCACAGCTGCCAGCCCCGTGTGCTTCTGGGATGCCGGCGGGAGTCGTGGATAAAATGCTAATAGCTAATAATTACTTTGTGTCTTGCTCGTACAGAACCAGCTCATCCTGGGAGTGATGGGAGTCGATATCGCAATCAACGAAATCAAGAGGAAGACGCCGACGTACAGAGTGAGCGCCGCGCATATCCAATGTCGCTGTGGTGTGGCCTTCATGTTAACGAGTACTTAATCATGTTATGAATCTTGTTCTGTGCAGCTCGGAGCTAACGGCTACACCTTCGCCATCGATCCGAACGGTTACGTCCTGCTGCACCCCAACCTGCGACCCAAGGTGGGCCCAGCTATCAACCTGAATGAGTCGAAGTTAAATGTGGATGTTGTTCCTCCTCACTGATGCTCCTCCTCCATCTCCCCCCTGCTTCCTGTTTCTCTGTTCAGATCATTAACTTCAGGGAGCCCGTCACTCTGGACTTCCTGGATGCAGAACTGGAGGACAGCAACAAGGAGGAGGTAAAACTTCCCTGCAACATCCCAACTGTTTGGGTTTCTACGTCTGATGCGTTCTGTTGTTGTTTGCCTCCCGTTTTGCATCAGTATGCCTTCTCACGCTCCTGCTCTCCCTCTCGCTCGCTCCTCAGATCCGTCGACAGATGATTAATGGCAAATCAGGGCAAAAGAAAATCAAGACGCTCATTAAGTCGGTTGATGAGGCAAGTCGTCGATACACGAGACTCAATCATGAGCCCGAGTAGCACCTTCCTGAACGCAGTGAATCGCTCCGTATGCTTCAGTGTCTGTTGTTTCCCGCTGATTGTGGACACGAGGAGGTGACGCTGTCTTTTGTTACAGCGCTACATCGACGAGGCCATGCGGACGTACACGTGGACGCCGGTGGAGGGCACAGACTACAGGTAGGTCACCTGAACCTCAGAAGCCCAACAGGTTGCTCAGCTTGAACCAGTGAGCGAAGTCTCAGATTTACGGTGTCACACTGAACCTACCAGCGATTAAAGGCGGCTTGCTAATTCGCATTAAATAATTCATCTGAGCTACGCAGATTAAATGGCTGTTTTGTTTTAAATTCCTCTCGTAAAAAATCCTCAACAAGCACAAATTAATTACACAGTTTATTCATCTCCAAACTTGGTCGGACGTTTGAGGTCGCATCGTAATGACATTTCCTCCAGGCAGCATTTTGCAAATTACAGTTTATGATATTCAATCGTCTTACAAACGCCTGATTTGTGTGTTTTATTACATCTGCTGGCAGCGCGCCTGCTTCTGGCAGAGTCCACACCAGACTTTCTGCTGTATTAGTGTTCAAGTCAAAGCAGAGTTGCGTGTTTCAGAAAGCAGATGTGTTGCTGTTCTGACTAAGTAGACGCGCTTATGTTTCCCGTATCACAGAGTTCAAGGCTGAGGGAAATGAGGGATGTTTCTTTAAATCTAAATTAGCTTTATATTGTATTTCTGGGCCACAGATATCGTCGCAGCCTCGTTTTCTGTCTGTTCCAATTAATCCTCTTAATGAGTTATATTTTAGCTTTGAATGACACCAAAGATTCAGAGATGGGACGGGCGCCTCCATTTCTGTCTCTGTTTCTGGATTCGGTAGATGACAGTAAATATAAAGTAGACTTTAGGAATTACACATCGATGAACTTACATTTCTGTTTTCCTTGAAGCTCCTCAGATGAACATTTAAGTCTCCAGTAGCTGTGTGTGATGTGATCGGTGTCGGTTCTAGTGACACACTCGGCTCAGTTTAGCTGAACTAGTTTGAGTTTTTTTCCACCTTTCTTGCTTTGGTTCACTTTCACTTTGTGTCCAGCTGCTGCCTGCAGCTGTTCGTCATCAGATAACCAGACTGGACTTAATGGGAGTACAGAGTTGGACTTTTCAGGGTTACAGAGGTGGTCAGTTAACCTCCTAGATCACCATGGCAACTGATGCTGCACAGCTAGCCTGCTCTGGAGGAAGTTCTGCTCAGAGGTTGAGATTTATGTTGGTTTAAAGAAGTGTTATTATTTTATTTTCCTGCCGTATTCTCTCTGAGCGACGCAGGTTCTCAGCTGAGGGACAAACCTGTTGAGCTGTACATTAGTCACAGAAGCACAAGTTGTATGAGGGAACCTACATACACAAAACTTATTTACAGCCGTCGATAATCCGACCCTTAACAATCCTAAACCTGCTATCCGACAGGTTTTTAGGAAAAACCAACAGAACCCATGAAAACAGCCTTAACATAGCGACAGCCTTGGATTGTGACTCCGACATGACATTTAATGTCACCAATCAGGGTGACGGCGTATTATCTGACTGAACAATCCCACAGATTGGCTACGTTCACACTGCAGGACTTGATGCTCAATGAGGATTTCTTTGTGACTTCCTTCACGTTTCCAGTTCAATGCGACTTGTATGTGATCTGCTGTGTGAACTTCATACGAGCCAAAAGTGTCCCGCATGCGCAGAAGAGGACACGACGACGTCACACGCAGCGAGCGTGCTCAGTGTTTATGGAAGTAAACATGGATGGTAACGGTGGAGCGTATCTGCCACTCCCCCACCGCCACCGATGGAGGAAACAGAAGTGTGAGCGCTAACTAAACTAGCATCAGCAGCCAAGTACTGCCTGTGTGTTCTGGACACTTCCACCCCGTCAGAGCGCTGCCCCGGGGTGGAAGTGTCCCCCGACCGCACCCAATGTTCTGATATTCATCATTAACTGGGCCTGAACATCCAGAGAGCAGAAAGTTCTACTGGGACCAGAACCACTAGTTATTATAACAACTATGAACAATAATGAACAACTAATGAGCCTTCCAGCATCAAGCCCTCCTCGTATCTGGACCTCCGTCTGGACAATCCGACGGCCTTGATATCCGACATAGAAGAAGGTTTTACATTTAGTGTCGGATTATCGAGTCACGACTGGACCTGCTTTAATACTTGCTGGTACTGCAGCTATAATAACAGATTAGAAAATTGCTTCATCTGTTGGTATTTGTGGCAGCAGATATTCAGTCAGTAACATTAATTTAAGTTTGATTTGGTAAAGCGATCTCCACAAGTCCTCCATAATGAGACCTAAATCCGTGGATCATGTTTAAATGTATGAAGTTCACTGTTTAAGAGCTCCAACGTTCGGCTGTCCTGCTGGAAACAAGTGGCTGCACTAATCGTGCTCTTAGTGGTAAAATAAATGTTCTCTGCCGTCCATCATTTGCACTTTTTACCATAATACATGTTTTATTCTCTCAGTAGCTCTTCACAATAACAACCTGTTCCTCTCCACTTAAGTGGGACGTACACAGAGTCACATGACGCCCCTGATAAAGAAAACCCGAGTCCACAAAGACCGTCGATAAGCACCATTGTTGTAGCCGCTGTCTCAGATTGGAGGTTTTGTTGCGCAAACTTAAACAAAGAGCGCCTGGTTGTGTTGAACTTGCTTTGTAACGCACTCCTCCTGTCGGCAGCGAACATGAGCGTCTCTGAAAGCGAGGCAGCGAGTTCCCAGAAACATCTGCAAACAGCAAAACACAAACCAAACATCCTGCTATCGATTCCCACTGAAACTCTCTTCAAGTGTTTTTATTAGGAAGCAAGAAAGAAAAAGTCCAGCACATGTACAGCAGATTGTGCAAATCAGGGCTTCCTTGGTTTTTCCTTATGAGTGACACTCCACGTTATGAGTGACCAGTAGTCTACCGTCCCTTTAAGAAGGTGATCATTGGCCCACAGATCTTCTTCAAGACACGTCTGATTTCCTCTCGGTGGAGGGTATCTGCTGGTGTTGCTGTCCAGCAGCTATAAGACGAAGTTCTGCCTCCTTCTGATGCTGCAGAATCAGCTTCTGAGCACAAACAATTAGCACAAGAGAGTAAACAGTGTTGAGCTTTAGAGGAGTTTTTGAAGCGACGCCGAGTCATTTGCACCTTCAGGACCTTTATCAAAAAAGAGAAGATCTCCGACCAGAACCTTGTGAACCTCATGGAATCTGTGAATGATTTTAAACCGCATTCAGAGCACACTGGTTAACAAAACCTCTCCTGATGTTTCCAACCCCAGCTCCTCCTCCTACTTCCTGCTAATTGGTTCGTCGCTGTTTGGAAATCAAATAGAAGCAGTGAAAGGAGCAGCGAGACGCCCCGATTTCATACAAAGAATATATATTTACACAGACAGAATAAACAAGTTAGAGAAAGTGTACAAGTTAAAATGAAGGAACACTCGTACTGCTTCCTGTTGGACACCAGAGCCTTCAACCTGTCCAATAGGATCAGACGATCTCATCTCAACAGGTTTTGAGTTTTGTTCCAATACTCGGCTGCATAACATTTAAAAGCTCCTGATCTCAGTTTTAATGAGTGTGTTTCCAAGACGATAAAATCTTGGACCCTAGTTTGATGAGAAATTGATCTATAATTAAAAAGATATTCAGGTCATTTTCCTAACAATGTTTTGTAGATGAATAAAATACGATGCTGTTCTCTTCTAACTGCCACCTGACTTATGAACCTGAGAGCTGAGTTCTCTGCAGTCTTTTCATTTACACCCTTAAAGATGATCAGAAAAGCACAATTTGATCCATAATTCACATCCGACAGCATCATCATGTTCGGTTCTAATGCTTAAAATGAAGAAACTGGTTCAGATGAGCCGCAGTTTAAGACTTTCGACTACAAATGGCTCAAATTCATAATTCAGTGTTTATAAAAATTCACCAAAATGCCAGAAATTAAAGTTTTGATGCTCAAATTTGTGAAGACGGCGGCTTAATGTCCGCTCAGAGAACACGGACCTGCAGCTCTCAGGTTTAAAGAAAGTCAGATTTAATTGTTCTCACGTTGTTCACAGCGAGTTTCGTGAAATTGATCCGGTTGGTTTTTGTGGATCGTGACCTGGTTCATCGGTTCCTAACTCTGTGCGTCTGCCTCTCGTCCCCTCAGTCTAGGCTTGGTACTGCCCACATATAGCGAGAACCACATCAAGGCCAACCTCAGCGACCAGATCCTCCAGGTGCAGTGTAAGTACTCTGGGGAACCAGCCAGCGTCCTTCGTCTCTTCCTCCTCTTTCTCGCTCTCCTCCTCCTCCTCCTCCTCTGCTCTCTCCTGTCTCTGACCCGGTCCAGCCCTTCGTCCCGGGTCTCCGACACCACCATAGCGAGCCCGAGCGGAGCCGCCTCTCCCTCTCTCCCCCTCCTCTCCTCTCCTCCCCTCTCCGAGCTCTCCGATAGGCAGGACCATCCCCTCCTCTCCTCTCTCTCCTCCCTCTCCTCCCCGTCCCTCCTGTCTTCATGCTGTGCTGTATACAAACGGTGACGTTTTTTCTTCACACTGGCTGAAGAAAAAAAACAACTGAACTGACAGAAAGGTGAAAGCTGTGGTTTTACTGTGTTACTCAGGTGAAAATAATGGTGACCTCTGTGCTATTATTTTTTTTGCCAAATGCTCTCGCCTCTTCTCCACCGAGTAATGATTCTGAAGCGTCTGTGTTCAAAGTATTCGATGTTCTGGACAGACTGTGAAAACACGCATGCTTTTCACTCCTTATCATGGTTTGTTTTGGGAGATTTTTTTAATTTATTTTTTGCTGTGTGTGACTTTTCTTTTGGACTGTGTGAGACGTTTCTCAGCTTTGGAATCATTCGACAGATAAACTCCCACATGGCCCGGGACCCGGGGCGTCTCGTCAATTGTGGGAGTTTGGGTTTTTGTGGATCTGAATGGGGACACGTGTTGTCTCTCTCATTCTTTCTTTGTCCAGACCCTGTTGCTCCCCTCTTTTCCTGGTGCATTTGATTTATTTCTTTTTTTAACTTTCCGTTCCGCCATGGTTATTTCTCACAGTTGCCGGTTTTGTCTTTACTGTTTTTTCTGTTCCTGGATTATCCAGTTGTTGTTGTTGTTGTTGTGGTTTTTTTTATAATTTCCTCTGTTGGTTTTTTCCTCGTTTGCTCTCGCAAATAAGATGTTTGCTCTTCATTTCTTTTTCTCTCTTGTCTTGTTTGACTTTAATTGGTTTTTTTCTTTCAAGAAAACAATATTTTTATTCAAACAGTAATTGAATAAAATATTGTCTGTGATCCCCCCTTCCCACCCAATCCCCTGTTTCTTTTCTTGCTCACTCCTTCTCTGATGGATCCACACAGTGCCATACACCAAGGGCAAGTATACTCCATATTGGTCCACGTTCCCTTCCTCTACTTCCTACCTCCCTACCGCTTCCTCCTCCCTCCCTCACCTCTCGTCCTAAACCTCCCCCCTGCTGCCCCCCCTCCTAACCTCACCTGTCCCAGCCTGCTTGCCTCTGTTCCTGCCCGTCTTGCCTTCAGGATTTCCTCCCTTTTATTCCTCCTTTTTCTCCTCCTCCTCCTCCTCCTCTTCCTCCTTTAATCCCTCCTCTTCCTCCTCCTCTTCCTCCTCCTCCTCCTCCTCACCCTCTTGCTGCAGCTCAGATCCCACATCTCTCACTATGGTTCCTCCAGTCCCCGGCCTCACCCTCCGCCCCACATATCCACTGCTAAAGAAAAACAGCAAAAAAACGAAGTGTACTGCACCAAGGAAGACAGATATTCATGTTTTGTCTTTTGCTCCTCTTCCCCCAAACCTCAGTCCTCCTCCTTCTGTAGATAGCTCCAAACCAGTCGTGTCTGCCTCCTTCTTCTGTCTCCTCCTTTCACTTTCTTCTCACCTTTTCTCATCTTCCTCCTCCTCTTTGCTCTCTTTCTGTCTTTTTCTTACAGTGTCATTAGCTCTTAAATGTCTGAACTAACTCTCACGCTGTAGGCCTCAGGTGTTCACAGATCTTTTCATTTTTAAATCCCAGATTTTTAGATCACATTTAGCTCCACACACAGTCACAGATTTGTAGTTTGTTTGCTGAATCCACACTAATGTTCTGCAATACATCAGCATGGTCTTTATCTACAGTACAGTAAATAGGGCTCCTATGATACTCTTATTCATCCGTAGGTTTATTCGACACCATATAAAAATCTCTCCTAACAGTTGTTGTTTGCTAGCTGCCGTAGCATCTCGTCCGTAGCTGGAAGCACTGCAGCTTGCAGACTGACCCCACAGGGCTGAGCTGTGTCCTGCCAACCCAGGTCCTCCCATGTTGTCAGGTGTCAGGGTGCCGCTGGGCACGGCACCTGACTCCTATGTCGTCCCTCTGTACTCCCTGTCTCCATCGGCTTGTCTCCCTCCCCCCCGCTCACCCCTCAGACTGCCAGGGCCACGGCCCAACGCTTCCTCAGTAAACCCGACCCCGGATGTGCATGGCATTGTGGGCGGAAAACTACCTGGGCACTCGATTTTAGCTGTCTAAATGAACATTTGATCCCTCTTCTGTACACAGTTACAGGTCATGACTTAATGAGAAACTGGATTCATCGCAGACCGCGGCTTTACAACAACGTCTGATCTTCTGTCTTCTGTTCTGCTCTGGTAGAATAACTGAAGTTGCCCTTCCACATGCCCTTCACAATGCAATGCATTTCCTCTGATTATGTGTCTCTCCACGTCCTGCCCCCTGCCAGTCTGAGGGGTGACCACCTCCATCAGGACCTTCACCCACCTCCCCCTGCAATAGTTGGCCATGTTGATGCCTGCCTGATCCCAAAGCACTCATTGTGGGTATTCTGTCTGAGAACTTGCTTCCTGACAAATCACGTCTGTCAAGTCAGTTCTCAGACGTCCAAAAAACAAAAAGAACATCAGATCTAAACCAGGAATAATCAGGAAAAGAAAAAGTTGACAAAGAAACCAAAGCAGAAGCTGTGAGTGCTTGTGAAACCAAAGCAGTCGTCCATCGAGGGTCAGGTTCCATTTGAGGCACCATATTGGCTAACGCTAGTGTTCCCATGATACCTCAGTGTTGCTATGGTAAACTCCCTTCTGCGTCCCCGCACCTCTGGATAACAGCTGCTGTGTAGCCACAACTCCCCACTGGCCCGGCCACTGCTCTTCCTGGATAATCTTCCCCTTTCTGTTGCAGATTTTGAATCACTGCTGCCAAACAGTTTTGAGTCTGAAGGACATGTGTTCATTGCTCCCAGGTAGCCCTGTGTGTGTGAATGCTTGCTGTCGTTGGTGGTCATCAGTTTTTTGGTCTTGTCTTTTTCACACGATAGACCTTTTGTCTCGTTTTGTTTCCGCTCCACATCTCAGAGTTCTCTCATCTGCTTCCTTGGATTGTGTTTTACTGTGATGTTGAGTTGCACGACTTTGTTGGTTTTCGTTCGTTCTCAAACTTTTGTGTGTTTACTTAAAGCCAGAAATTCTTCAAATGAGCAGGAAAACATAAAATTCGTCGGAGCTTTATAATGTGTTTTTTGTTCATTTTCTTCGCTCAGTTACTCTCATTGTGATAAAGTAATAGAGTCATGTGACGCCTTCGCTGCCTGCTGCTACTGTGGTGCTGCATGTTTGAATACATTTAGATGAACGAGGTAACGTAAGGAGTGTTAGACGAACCAAAAAGCTTCAGTTTGTATGAATAAAAGAAGACTAAAATCCTCTGCATGTGCCGTTTTAATATTAACCGTCCTGGTCTTCAGCTGTCATGCCTGTTCTCTGCTCTGCAGTCGATCCACTCCGACTAACAGCAGTCCTGGAAAACTTCTAAAATATGCATGCTGCACACATTAGCATCAAGCAACATATGTCTGGTTTGTTGCATCTCCACCCCGTGTTGTGTGTCCCTCACGTTGGTTCTTTCCCTCTGAGCTGAAGTGCTTCGTCTGTTCCTCAGGGAGTACTGCAATGATCTGGAACTGTCCAACAACAACACGGAGTTCCTGCTCAACTTCATCGCTCTGATGGAGAAGGTGACGCCAGACTCCAAACAATGTGAGCTTCCTGTCTTTTCCCCTCATAGACAAAGTTAGGATTTTATTTTAAATAGGACGTCATATTCATTTTGACCACAACCATGATATTTAAAAAAAAAAAGAAGAAGAAGAAGAAGAAGAGCTCATACTTTTTTAGCTATTTTTATATTTTTATCTTGTACCTTACTCTACATTTATCGTTGCACCGAACAAATTCCTCGTGTTCTGTAAACTGCACCTGCCAATAAATCTGATTCTGATTCTGAATTCTTCTGGCCGGGGTCATCATGACGTGACAGTCTGATTTTGTGACGCCTCTAATTTTAAATTAATCCATTTAGGAAGGATCAGTCTAATGACAGTCTTGTAAAAAAAACATAAAAAACAACAATTAATTGACATGCATCTACCATGTGGCCAGATTCTGATGGAATTTATTCCTTTCTCTCATAACTTATTGTTATTCAAACACTAATGCCACATTATTTAAAGTCCTGCTGCAGAAGAATACTGCAATGTTGAAAATATGTGGAGATCCACTGCTGAGAGTAGTCCAACGAAAGTAGTACTGACTCCTCCTGGAGAAGAATTTAGTGAAAATGACACACAAGGGGGCTGCCAGGTGGCTAAAGGTGGTTAGCGCCATCGCCTCACAGCTAGAAGGTCGCTGGTTGGCGTCCCGGTGAGGACACCCGGGATCTTTCTGCGTGGAGTCTCCATGTTCTCCCCGTGCAGCGTGGGTTCTCTCCGGGTTCTCCGGCTTCCTCCCACAGTCCAGAAACATGCTGAGGTTAATTGGTGATTGTAAATTGTCCGTAGGTGTGAATGTGAGTGTGCTTGGTTGTCTGTCTCTAAGTGTAGCCCTGTGATAGACTGGTTACCTGTCCAGGTGAACCTGCCTTCACCCTGAGTCAGCTGGGATAGGCTCCGCCCCCCACCACCCTAGTGAGGATTGAGGTGTAGAGATGATGGATGGATGAGAGGTGTTTTCATGCAGTTCTTTAACTACAAGAACGGTGTGGAATAAGGCTGGTCTGGCTCTTTTAAAACCAAGGAAATCCAGAAACAATCATTGGTGTCGTCTCTTGGTGTTAGTGCACAGAAGCAGAAGGAGTTTTAAACGCTGACTTTGCTTGAAGTCGGGGAAACATTTGTGAAATCTGAAATGTTTAATTTGCACCAACATCATGCATGTTGTGTCTTTGGTCTGACTCTTGGACAACTCGTGTCATGTGTGCATTAACCTGTACGAGTCTCTCTCCTCCCATCAGGTGACAATTTGCTCCTTCACAACCTCATCCTGGACACCGGCATCATCCGGCAGCTGGTGGAGAAAGTGTGGAAGAATAAAGACTTGAACACGTGAGTACGAGCGGCGAGGAAAGTGTGTTTTCAGATTTGGACTCTGGATGAGAAACTGACTGGAGGCCCGTTGTTGTTCTTTTCCTCCTTCAGATACGGCTTCCTGGCCGTGTTTGCGGCGACAGATGGAGGCATAACGAGAGTGTTTCCGAACAAGTAAGTGCACTCTTCATCAGGGCTGCGTGTCTGCTGCTTTGTGCTTCTGTTCTGTTTCCCACTTTGTTCTCTCTTAAATTGATAAGTCGCAAAGTTTTCGTAAACACGTGGGTTTTAGCGAGAAGCTCGGAAATTTATAGCCGCGGTATCTCTGGTCTTAAATCTTAGGGCTGCAGAAAGCTGGGAAGAGGACCCTGAGCCGTTTAATGCCAGCTATTACCGCCGCAGCCTCGACAACAAGGGCTACATCTTCCGAGCGCCTTATCGAACGGGTGAGTGATGCTCTCAGGCCTGAGTTATAAGGCTCACGCAGAGCCTCGGCTGCTTGTTTCTAACCTCTCTCCTGCTTTGTTTCTCTGTTGCTTGCAGTCAGGGACGAGCTGCTGAACCCAGAAAATGACACCATAGGTATTCTGGTCAGCACGGCGCTGGAGATGACAATAGGAGGGAAGACCATCAAACCTGCAGGTGCACTTTCTCCTGAGAGAGAAGAAACAAACTCCCAGTAATGATAGATATTAAAGAAAATGTTTCAGAGCAAGCCGGAGATAATTGCACGTCTCTGTTTGTCGTCTCGTCTCTTTGTGTTGACGTGTGTCCGTGCTCTGCATCTCCTTCCTTTATGTTCGTCTTATTTTGTGCATTTCTGTTATTTTAATGAATCCTTTTTGCTACCTTCAGTTGTCGGAGTGAAGCTGGACCTTGAAGCCTGGACGGATAAGTTCAAGATTCTCGCCAGCAACCACACAGACAACCGTCAAGGCTCCAACACGGTAAAGTCCACATACATGTAGTATGTAGGAGGGGAGACGGGGGATGATAGGAGCACTGTTTGTTTGAGCGAGTGGAACTCAGTGGTTCTTTGTGCTGGAGATGTCAAATCCTGACATGTGGTTCTTATATGTGTCTGCTATAAATGACAGACATCTGGACTTCTACTACACCATCACAGATTATGTAAATTAATGTCAAATACAAAGAGGTGTGTTGTTGTACCGAGGTGAGATGTAACACGACTTGAGGATGGAATTATTATGCTTAGAAAACACCCACACTAATAAATGTATGGAAACACTTTGATGAATAATAAAGAAGGAACGACAAACTTGTAAGAGTACAGAAATAATAATAAAATAAATACAACGTAGACGTTAAATACAGTAAAATAAATAAATAGATATAACATAAAATAAATAAAATAAAGAATAATAAAGTATAAACTGGTGTGTGTTGTGTGAGTGTTTTGTAGCAGGAGACCAGTGCAACATGTCAACATAAGGGGAACGTTTAAAGAACAGTCCGAACCCTCCCTGTGCCAGGCAGTCATTAAAAAGCTAACTGTTTTTAGCATTTAGCTTCAAAGCTAGCACTAATGCAACAAATTAAACTGGAGAAACTCCTGCTGGAGCTGATGTAAGTGAAACAACTGCATCTACAGCACAATGGACACGATGCAAAACATGTTTGTGATGAAAATTTTTACTTTTCGTACCTGAAAAATGGTTTTATGGCTCCAGGTGGGCATGGACTGTACTGATGACATCCCCATTAGTCAAACTGAGGGTGGTACATCCATCCCCGGTCTCCACTACATAAAAACTTCCTTACAGCTACTTATAATTTCTGTTTTCCTCTGACAGTGTGGACCAAACAGGGGCTGTGAGATGGACTGTGAAGCCAACAGCGATGTGAGTGTTTGCTCAGCTGGACCTTCTGCACGTCTTCGCTCTGTTCTTCCAGCTAACGCTCTGTTTCTGTGTCCGTGTGCAGGATCTCCTGTGTTATTTAATAGACGACGGCGGATTCCTGATCATGTCCAACCAGAAGGACGACTGGAACAAGGTTTCATTAAAGCATTCATTCGTCCTCATCGTGGTTCCTCTCTGATCTCCACCCAGAGCCTGACCTGACTGGTGTTTGTCACCCTGACAGGTGGGCATGTTCTTCAGCGACGTGGACCCCTACCTGATGTACGCGCTCTACAACAACTCCTTCTACAACCGCAAGCAGTCCTTCGATTACCAGTCGGTGTGCGAGCGGATGCCGAGCAGCGAAGGTGGAGCGGCGCCCAGAGGAGTGTTTGTGGTACGAAGCGACGTCTGACAAGTCAATCAGCATCACTTGGATGAAATGTGCTGAAGCAATGGATGGACACAGATTTTTTCTTTCTCTGTATTTGTAGCCCACGATTGCAGATTTTGTAAACCTGGCCTGGTGGACATCAGCTGCTGCATGGTGAGATACACAGGAACACATGTACCATACCTAAGAAATGCATATTATACACTCATCATTTGGGGTTTATTGTTTGTTCAACACACCTACAAATATTAGAACTCCCTCCCCACACGAGCTTGTTATAATAACTACACCATCCAAGTGAGTTTCTTGGACGTAGCTTCGTCTTAAAACCCTCGTGTGAACCGAGCAGCTCTCTGGACCCATAAAGGAAGTGGCACCAGCATGTGATTTAACCGCTCTGAACCCAAAACCGACCCATTTGAAAGGCTTGTTATCTCTGAAAAATCCCCCAAAATGACACCATTTATCAGAGACTAAACACAAAAGGAAACGTCTGACTTTCAGCTTTCTGAGGTTCTCAGCTAATTATATGTGAAGTTCTGTTCAGACAGAAAGCTTCAAAATTTAGCTTTTAATTGAAATTCCTTCATTCTACATGTCTTGTTTTTTTAAAAATGCAAAAACAAAATTGTCTGCAGTTATCAGAAAAGTCTGCACCCCTCGTCACAGCTGGAAAATAATTACCGTAATGTCCAGACTATAAGCAGCTACTTTTTTCACACACTTTGAACACTGTGGCTTAAACAACGATGCAGCTAATTTAGGGATTTTTACGAATTTGTGACATTGAGAGCGACGACGACAGAGAGACTGAGGAAGTGATGAAGTGATTCTGAGGCTGTTCAGCTCCTGAAGACACTGAAGAAGACGACTTTAGTGGTTTTAGTGCAGGAGGAAGATGAAGATAGCGATCAGTGACTTTTCCTGGCAGCTGCTGGAGTTTTATTTCCTTAACCAGCCGTGTTACAGGAACTGTTCAGAAAAAAGCCTCTACGGTTTAATTAAAAGTTAGTGGGTGTGGCTTATTTTCAGGTGCACTTAGTAGTCCGGAAATTACGGTAATGGTTCAGCTGTGAAAAAACAAACAAAAATTCAGGACTTTTCAGCTGGACTGGTTGAACTGCAGGTTGTGTTTACACCCAGCAGTTAGGAGACACACATGGAACCAAAATAGAGATGCAAATATCTTCATTATCTAGAGTCAGCTGCTTTACAGTGTCGGGAACTCTTGTGGTTTGAAAATGCCCAAAAATGGCCCGTAATGCTCGCAGTTTTTCCAACATGGCAGATTTCCTGTTGGGTTTACGGAAACGCTCTGATGGACTTTTTTGTGCGTCCCGACCTGCTTCATATGTGTCCCGAATTTTGTAGCTCTAAGTCAAACGGAGCCCCGATGGGACTTGAAATCCTGTAGGGGGCGCAGTTGATTCCAAGTTTGTTTAAACTTTTTGTAAAATCAAAAAGCTTTACCTTTATGGCATTACAACCATATCGTACTGCACAAAACACTTTTTTTTAGCACCAGAGTGTCAGAGATGGAAACAGGAATGAGTCGGTCTTTTCTGCCCTCCGTCTGAGTCGGGGTTATTTGTGCAGTCAGGTGATTCTGACTCGGTTTGTAAAGTTTTATTGCTGTTGTCCTGCTGTGCATACAAAGTGCAGTGATTCACCAAAACGTGAGTAAAATCTGGGCCTTCTTGAGCTGAATCGTTGGCATTTAGAGACCTGCCCTCTCCTGTGTTATATTATCAGTGCACTAACCTATTACTGGGCCACATTTATTGACTGTTCAGATTCTTACTGACGCCTGCTGTGTCCACAGGTCCTTGTTCCAGCAGTTTATTTATGGACTGGCTTACCGCAGTTGGTTTGTCACAGGTGGGTGGAATTAGTGTTTTTATTTCCCAGATTCCTGTATTTATAAAACTGGCTTCTGGTTGCATTTATTTAGGCTTTAAGCAGGAGGTGTATTCAGTTTAACACGACACAAACGGTGATGAGCATCTTTGTGCACCATTAAAGTCAGACTGAAGTGTCACTGGCATGTCTGTGCAGATGAGGTGGATGCAGAAGGATTCGACTCCAAAGAGAGGAGCTGTGTAATGATCCAGACCCAGTACTACTTAAGCAACCTCAGCAGCTCCTACAACATCCTGCAGGACTGTGGCAACTGCTCCAGGTCTGTAGGAAACGCACACAGCGACACGAGCTGACGCATAAATAACACGGAGGACAGAGACACAGTTAGCAAGACAGATTCATCTTTCTGCCGGAGTTAATAAACTCTGCCGATGATTAACCCGCATCAGCTTTAATGAAACGGTCATATCATTGGCTAAATGAGCCTTATAAGGCTGTCTCATGAATCTGGCTGATCCATTAGCAAATGAGTGTGTGATGTAAGCGAGCAGAGGGGGGCTGTTGACAGAGCTGCCGTCTCTCTCCCTCTCTCTGCAGGCTGATTCATGCCAAGAGGATAAACAACACCAACTTGCTGTTTGTGGTGGCAGAAAAGATGCCGTGCAACACCTGCGAGATCGAGAAGCTCTCCCAGGAGGAGGAGGAGTGTATCCTTTCTCACATCGCGCACCAGCTGGCGCAGAAGAACAAGACACACTCTCTAATCTCTGGATTTCATCTCCTCGTCGCCAGAACAAATGTTTTACAATTATTTTAGGGTTATCTTTATCGAGACGCCGTGAATCCTGACCGCTCGTTTAGATCTGTGGGAGATGTTGATGAAAAAGTGAAAGTCTGAGGTTGTTAATTTTCCTTAATCGTGTCGATTCTCAGTCAAGGAGGAGAATCCGTGTGAAGAGATGACTGTGGCGCGCTATCGAAAAGGACCCTCCACCTGCTTCGACAATAACATCACTGTAAGACCTCCACAGATGAAGAGCTGTTCAGCGTTTACTCACTTAGAATCAGCAAGAGGAGAGGATTTTAAAGCCAAAAGCAGGATCAAGATTTGAAAAAGCTGATGAGTACATTTAGCACACGAGCAAACAGACATCAGGTTTCAGACGTGTGTGTCGTAGTCAGCTTTATTTAATATTACTATACGGGTGAACTGTTTATTCTACAAACTGCGTAGCTCGTCCACTGTCGTCCAGAAACTCATAAATGACTGCTGGTCGAATCCTAATGGGAGCTTTTATCATCATCATCTTACTGCTCTCAGATCAGTCGTGAGCTTCAGAGTCCTTCAGGTCCTCGCTGTGTTTTCTGTTACAATAGGTCTTGTAGTTTTCATATAGTTTTTGCTCGACTCGGCAGAACCAGGCTCAACAAATCCTAGCATCCCGATCAGACGCTGGCTATCCCAACAGCTTTACTCGTTAACCAGGTCTCTGCTCATCCACCTTATCAAGAGGAGCTGGTTGTTAGAACAGAAGCACTGAGGATGATGGTGCAAGTTAATGCACTTACTTCACCGCTCAGCTCTCTGTCAATGCAGCCGTTTATTTATAACATGACAGCTGCACATTAGAGCTGCTCGACTTTAAGCTTCATACATTTAAACGTGATCCTCAAGAAACGCATTTAGAGCTAAAACTCAGTCACTTTTAGACCAAATCAAAGAAGAAATTATTGTTACTGATACTGATTAATAACAATAGACTAATTAATGTGCTGATCTGTCTGTTATTAGCTGCAGAAACAGCAGGGGGCACCAGACATGGCAGCAAATCAGGACCAAACAAAAACCAGCTAGATATAAATTATAAGAATCTGTGTCACTCATCCAGGATGTTGTCAGATAAAAAGTAAAAGGCCGATTTAAATGGTAAACTATGACCAGAACCTCCCCCAGTGCGTGTTAGCTGTTAGCATTTCATAGCATCTAAAACGATGGGCTCAATGTTTCCTGCTAACCCATTAATCTAACATCGTAGTCACGCCCTCTGGTGGAGAAGATGTGTACCTGCGAGTTATACGCTCCAATTTGCAGTATTTTTGATCAGTTAAAGTAATATCTATTAAATGGGTGTTCATACATGATGCAGCTTTGGTTGAATAGATTCACAAACTTGTAATGTGGTGTCATTTTAAACCAAATGAATCAGAACCAGAATCACCTTTACCTGCTCAGGATGTGTCTCCGTGTGCACAATCTGACTTTATTCTCAGAGTACTGACACAGAATTAAACACACGTGCATTTAAACGAGGAAAACAGGTTACAGAGGTGGTGTTTAACTACATATCATGTTTGAAGTGAACCAAAGTTTAGTGCAAAAATGCAGTTAGTAACAAAAAACGCAGAATTACTGACATCTTTTATACACGAGGTGGGATTCAGAGTCGTTTTATTGTCACTGCAACGAGCACAGCGAACAGGAAGGTGCAGGCCTGCAAAAAAATACAAAAACTTTGTAAACAACTATATACAACGTGATATTTAAAAACAACTCTTTATATAAAGATGAAATTAAATAATAAGCACAGTGTGTGTTGCACAAAGGTAGTGGCATATTTGCACTTATTATGATAAAGAGGCATTTATGGCTGTTGGACAGAAGCTGTGGGACGCTGTGATGTGTAGCATGGACACGGTGGTTCAGGGTTGGATCAGAACGAGCTTCCCTCACTGGTTTCAGTGTGTCGATGGCCTGCAGGCAGAATAAAAGTGCCTGACGGACTTTTTTTTCCCCCCAATTATCTTTTTATTTTATTTTCAACATTTTTTAAACATATAGAACAAAACAGAAGGAGGTCAAATATAAGATGGAAAACAAAAAGCAGAAAAAGAGAAGATTAAAGTGGACTCAAGAGAAAAGGAAAAACAAACATTAAGAAAATAAAGAAATAATTACAAATGCAGAAAATGAGATTTAGTCAAATGAACAAACAGTTCTTCAGTTCAAGCCATGGTTAAAGTTCATAGAGGTTCAGGCCTGCCTTGCCATAGTCGTGGTATCAGAGGTCCATCAGTGGTCCATCAGTGGTCCATCAGTGGTCCATCAGTGGTCCCCATATCCCCAGGACTATGTCCCCCTTATTGTTTTAAATGTTCCAGTTTGGTTCAGAACTTGTTTGAACAGACTAAATGATGGGGGTCTCTGCTGGTTCCAGTTCAGTAGGACATTATGTTGATCCTCTTCCTGTATGTGGGATGCAGCGTCTTGTCCAGTTCTGTACCTTGGAGATAGCATCCTCGTGTGATGTCCAGCAGGTTCCCACAACATCGACAGTCAGATCATGTTCAGCCTTAAGTTTTTACATTCTCAAACAATGTGCATAACTGATCCAATGCATGTTTTACATCACCTTGACCTGAAGGACTATTTGAGAAGCTGTCTCCGTTGATGTGCTGCGTTTTAAACGTGCTGCATGTGTGACGCCGGCTTCCTGTTTCCTGTTTCCTCCTGCAGGAGAACACGTCGGACTGCGGGCGAGGTCACTCCTTCCGTCCGTCCCTCTGCACTCTGCTGCTCGTCCAGCTGCTCCTGCTTTACCCCGTCGTCAGTCCCCACCTCCACTTTCTACAATAACTCCTGCACTTCTCCTCCTCTTTGCCCTCCTGAGCTTCTGCCCCTCCAACCCCTCCGCCCCCCTGCCCCGCCCCGCCCCCCTCCTCCCTTTGGTATTAGGTAATAATGGGACTTCCCATCACAGCCAGTCGGAAGCCCTGAGCGCCGCGCTACCCAGCTCGCTTCAGTCTGTGTCGCTTAGTGACGACCGCCGGACGTCCTCAACCTTCATCTGCAGGAGGAGCGGGTGGTGCCGGACCACCTGGATCAGAAAAGAGAACCCACCCGATCCCACCACCGCCCTCACCCGCCACCTCCACCTCCAGCGAGGGGCAACAAGGACAGCTGATCCTCTCATCACAGACCTCCCACCACATAGACTAGAGACGCTGAGGTCGTCTGTCCGCCTTCTGTCTGCCAGACGGACGACTTCTCCTCCTTCTCCTCCTCCTCCTCCTCCTCCTCCTCCTCCTTCTCCTCCATCCCAGAGTCTCGACACTCTGTCATTTGCCTCTCGTAAGAGGCTGCGGACCATCCAGCCAGTTATAACCACCGTAGAAGAAAATATCAGAACAACAACAAAAAGAAAAAAAGACAAAAAAAGACAAACTGTCAAGTATACAAAAGTATAAACTGCTGAAGTGATGAGTATCCAAACATCCAGTATATTTAGGTTTTAATTTGATTGAAGGAAGTCGTTAAGTGTTAAACAGACATGAATCCATTTACGCGCTATATCTACTTGCCAAAATGAGATATACTTTCATGTGGTCTTATTTTTCTAGCCAAAAACACGAAGAGGATTTAGATTCAGGATAAACCTCGAGTGGAAGAGGAGACACTCGGCAAGCGAACGCCGACTCGTTTTGTCGCGGCTCTTAATTACAGATTAATGCTTTTAAAAGAGGGTCCACTGGGGATTATTGTAATTACGTGATGGGAATCACATTTCTCTGAGTATTTCTCCTGATATTCACCATGTAAGGCGGCTGCAGAAACACGAGTCGGTGTTTGGTTGCTGCAGGAGCGTTGTTGGCTCTCTCCTTTAGGATCCATCTGACCTCGGGTTTAGTCTCAAAAAAAATAAAGAAGAAGAAGAAATCCTTCCTCTGCCAATCCTCACGAGGCTTCTCCAGTAACCTCTACTAATCACGATTTGTATATGCGCTTTACTTCTATCACTCTGCCTCATCGTAGGTGGGGTTTTTTGGGGAAGGGAAGGGGGTAGCTGTTGTTCCTTTTCGGGGGGCTCGCGTTACCTTTGACTGATGCTGTTTGAAACCATTCGCTGCTGGGGGATAGGGGGCTTATCAACATTTCCAACTAAAGTGCAGAAGAGGCCACTAAATATGGTGATCAGTAGTCGTCCGGGTGTAATCCATCACAGTTTGTCATTTCTGGATCATTGCGACGTGTGAAGAGTCACGTTAGACTTCCATGTTTAGGAGCCGCTCTGTGTCATAGTGCCTTGACGCACTTTGTTTTGGATCGGCTGTGTGAGGGTAGAGCGGCCGTACAGTACCTCCACCACACCTCCCAGCGAACAGAGCCGGCTCGGCTTCATGTATTCGCCCTCGTCGCTCCTGAGCTACTGTACCGTCCCTCTACGAAGCCATGTATAGAGCTACACTATCAGTATACAGCGACTTAACCGGCCGTAGAGCGTTTTTAGGGCCACCTGACTGCTATAGTTCTGCCTGAGTCGTATGTGTTTGTGTGTGTGTGGATGTGTGTGTGTGCGTTAGTTTGCGTTTTAAAAACCCTCAGAGGGGAATGTCTTTGAGCAGGGACAGGCTGTTCCTTCCTGTTCCTGTGTTGCAGCAGTGTTGTCGTGGAGAAGAAGAAGAAGAAGAAAAAAATAAACCGGGGGTCGGACGGGGACGAGGGGGAAACCAAAACACTCATCGTTAACGCTTCAGTAAACGGACGCAGAGGAAAGAATGTGTAGTGCATCAGTGTTTTCTCTCTAAATGCCTTAGTGTTACACCAGACGGAGCTCCGGCGCCCCCCCACGCACCCTGGTCCTCACGCCCCCCACAGTATTCACGCCCCTGGGTTTTCTTGGTGTTATGCAGTACGTATAGTGAGCTCTAATTTTGTATTTCTACGTCTTGGGAATGATTAGTTATTGATCGATGCCTGTTTGATTAAACGCTTGAAAGCTGGCGGGAGTTTTTTTTACAAATTTCAAAAAGACCTCCGACCTTCAGTGTTTCCACCCGAACACCCGCCGCCTGGCTCAGGTGGGGGCGACTCGAAGCTCGACTACACACTCTGTACAGTTGCTGTCGGTACTGTTTGATGTGACAGATCATGCCGGCACAGTCGCTGCAGCTCGGCTCCCAACGCATCCGAGAAAATTGAAGATTTCCAAATTGGTGGGTCGCCCGACGCTGGATGCAGTTTGACTTTTCTGGCATTTGTTTGTCTCCGTCCTGTGCCATTAACTCTGTCTGTATTTCCACTGTCTTTAAACGAACGCTACACGTGCCTGTGGAAATGTACCCCCTGCAACTTCCTCTCTTTTCCTGGATCTGTATGCGTACAGTCTCACACTTAAACTAAACATGTACACTTTGTGCACGACACACACACACACACCTATGAGCAAACACGTAATGGCACTTATTCACGCCCAGCTGGGAGATGTCAAACACCGGGCGCGACTCCTCCCAGGTGTTTTCTTTCTTTGTGAGTGGACGGGATGTCAGAGGCAAGCTCAGGGAGTGGGTCTCCACAGAGCAGCACGGGCCTGAAGGTCACGGAGGAATCATGTAGTGACGTGTGCGTCCCGTCGGGATGCACTGGTGTCTGTGGTTGGACAAATTTACTTTTGCCAAAAAAATAAATAATAAGAAGAAAAAAAATAAAGAAAAAATAGAAAATTGGAGCAGCTTGGGGAACGAGAGGGAGGGGTTCGCTTTAAAATAGGCAACAGGAGGGTTTGGGTGAAGCGGCCTCCCGAGCCTCGCTGCATCCGAGTCGGTGCGTCTCTGTGGGAAAGACGCGTGTATGTGATTCTGTAGTCTGTAGTCTGGTGCTATGTGACCATGTTTGACAAGTGTGTGAAAAAAAATAACATTTAGAGTAAAAAAAAAAAGAGAAAAAAAGTAAAATCAGTCGAATTTTAAGTGAAGTTAAAAAAAAAACAACTATAGGAATACAGCACTGTTGATAAGTTTGAGATCTGACGTCAAAATGTTTGAATTTTCTTTCAGTTTTTTTTTATTTCTCGTGTGAGTGTGAATGTTTGTGTGAAAGATTTAGCTCCTTCTTTTCTGGGCACTGGTCCACGTCGCTCCATTCTTTTGTACAGATGAAGCTAAAAAAAAAAAACAGAAAAAAAACAAAGAAGAAGAAGAAGAAGAGGGCAAAATTTGTAAAATATTGTGTCTGTGACTCCTTGTAAAATATTTTCAAATTGTTTATTACAGAGAATCAGTTATTAAATAATGTTCATATTTTTCACTTCATTTCATCGTGTCGTGTTTTGGTTTGTCAGCGAGAAGGTGATTTATATCAAAGATATACAATCTGGGAACAAGCAAAGTCATTGTTGGTGCTCTAAGATCAACTTTAACAGGATTAAAACTCAATATTTTGGGAAACATTCTAGTTTGCTTTCTTAGCCAACGTAGCTCAGAGGAAGCAGCTACTTCAGCTCTGCTTACATTCATGTGTTGTGTTGATGCCGTTTAGAAATCTGGTAGAAACAGAAGAACTGCCTCATGAGCACTCATCAGTTTATCATCACAGAGTTGGTTATGTGGCTCTGGATTTGTTTTGTGTCGTCATCTTGGAGATGTTTTGCAGGATTTCATGTTTTTTTTCTCTCATTTTGTGTCTCGTGTTGTTAATTTTGCATCTCTGTCTGGTCATTTAGCATCTTTTTATCGCCGTTTTTCTCATTTTGATCATTTTGTGTCATATGTTGATCATTTCGTGTCACATTTTGATCCTTACTTGTCACATTATGGTCATTTTATGTTGTGTTTTGGTCATTTAGTGCAATATTGTGTCACATTTTGATCATTTTGTGCCACATTTTGGTCATTTTGTGTCACATTGTGGTCATTTTATATTGTGTTTTGGTCATTTTGTGTAATATTGTGTCACATTTTGATCATTTTGTGCCACATTTTGGTCATTTTGTGTCATATGTTGATCATTTTGTGTCACATTATGTAATATTGTGTCACATTTTGATCCTTATTTGTCACAATATGGTCATTTTATGTTGTGTTTTGGTCATTTAGTGCAATATTGTGTCACATTTTGATCATTTTGTGTCGCATTTTGGTCATTTTGTGTCACATTTTGGTCATTTTATGTTGTGTTTTGGTCATTTTGTGTCCAATTTTGTCATTATGTGTCGCGTTTTTGTCAATTCACATCTTTTTAGCCATTTTGTCTCCGTAATCTTCATACATATCTTCATTTCTGTCTCTTTTTACAGAATTTCTGTGCTTTCGTGTCTCTTTCTGGGAGATTATAGTTCGGTGCTGACACCAGGGGCCTCCTCGCTCCTGGAGCCCCGGTGCCTGAAGCCGCTAAGCCCGTTCAATAATCCCTACATCCCTTAAAATTAGGTTTGTTTACACTGAACATCAGTCTCTGGCTTACGACAGGCATCCACGTCTGTTTTGTTTTCACGCGGTTCTGTTTTGCTAAGTTCTGTGGCGGATATATCAGAACCTCCAGAGACTTTTACACTCATAATTACACTCTTCACTTTTTTGTGTGGATAAAACAAACTGAAGACGGCATCAGTGAGCTTCAGACGTGCTGCTAGACGGATCTGTTTCCCTGCCAGGCTGGCTACGTTTGCAAATGTTTCCCAAAATGTTGAGGTTGAACCTTTACAGGAAAAGTTCTTCTGCTGTCGGATCCGATTAGTCGAACGTTAAATCAGGTGGAGCAGGAGGACGTCGTGGCCTGAACTCCTCATGAAAGCATCATGTGTTAACCTCTCCAGCTTCACAGCGTGTTGAGGAAGTCCGTGAGCGCTTTGTGCCAGGTGTCGGGGTCGTCCAGGTAACAGGGGTGCCCCGCCCCCTTCATCACCACCACGCTGTGATTGGCCAGACTGCTCAGGTTACGGAGCGACACCTCTCCGAGCTGGGCGTCCTGGTCGCCGTACACGATCAGCGACGGGACCTGAAGACAGGAAAAGAAAACTTGTGGTGAATCACTTCCACGGTCCTTCTGGAAATCTGTCTCTCTGCTTCGTGTTTGTTTTCAGATTCACGTCCGTATCTAATAAGATTTCGTAGATGTCCTACATTTTACCTCCAGCTGAAAAGAAATCTGGTGAAAAGATAAGAGACCTGCGCTTTGGTTTTATTCGGTGTGACAGATTTACGTGTCTGGATGTTAATAAGCGACTGTGGTCAAGCAGAGCAGGATATTCGCTTTTATCAGCTACAGAAAGGACACTCGGATCCTCTGCCCACGCTCTGCTGCATCTCTGTGAAGCGAAGGGACTCGCCAGAGACCGGGTCCACGGTCTGAGGCCTCGCTTTAGAGGCGCCGCTATCAGAGAAACACTCATTCCCGACTTTTCAGGTGTAAGAAGTGGCCTGTGTCCAACCATTTCTGTAACTTTCCAACATTTGCACCCGCTTTACATGTGACTGGCCGGCTGTGTGCAGGTGAGAACGGAGCCTCTTAAGCTCCTCTCCTTCCATTCTCCACACAACTTCTTCTGTCACTTTTCGTGTGAATGCCTTCCAGGAGAGACGCTCTGACAATGTGCTCGGTTATTGCTGGATGTAAAGGATTACTCCTGTGTGACGGCAGGCTTTTCAACCCACCTTCCACTGTGTCCGTCTCTAAGACCCGCAGAGTTCTCTTCAAGCATGACCCAGTTCTTAGTTCCTAATAACAGGCAAGCCACAAAAAATGGCAGCTCCCAAAATTCAATATAATGCAACTTAGCAGCGTTTTTTGTGCCTCTTTCTGTCGTAAATGCGTAATGCTGGCATCACTGTGGCATCATCGGGGTTATTTTTAGCCCTGAGAGAGTCACAGAAGTCGTTATGTAACTGCCCCGCAGCCATCTGACTGACTTTCATGTGCAAAACCAGCAGAGTGCGCTTTAAGAAAAGTTTATAATATACTATCAGCAAAATGTGCACAAGTTCATTTGGCTGGAAGTGTGGGTCTGAGTCCTCACTGCAGTATAATTACTTTAATGTATGAGCAGCAGCAGCAGCAGAGGAAGAAGACGGATAATTACATAAAACATGTGTAGAAGTCCAAAATAAACAGCAGGACTGTAATAATTCATTCATTAGGTTTGTTGTTTGGTCTAGAAAATGGTGAAAAAGTTGATCAGTGCTTCCCAAAGATGACGACTGTTTTATTCACAACATTCACTTTAGTGTCACAGAGGAGCAAAGAAACTAAAAAACATTTGAAGTTAAGAAGCTGAAACCCAAGAACTTTGCCGTGACTCCATAATCGACCCTTAACAATCCTAAACCTGCTATCTGACAGGTTTTTAGGAAAAACCAACAGAACCCATAAAAACAGCCTTAACATAGCGACAGCCTTGGATTGTGACTCCGACATGACATTTAATGTCACCAATCAGGATGACGGCGTATTATCTGACTGAACAATCCCACAGATTGGCTACGTTCACACTGCAGGACTTGATGCTCAATGAGGATTTCTTTGTGACTTCCTTCACGTTTCCACTTCAATGCGACTTGTATGTGATCTGCTGTGTGAACTTCATACGACCCAAAAGTGTCCCGCATGCGCAGAAGAGGACACGACGACGTCACACGCAGCGAGCGTGCTCAGTGTTTATGGAAGTAAACATGGATGGTAACGGTGGAGCGTATCTGCCACTCCCCCGCCGCCACCGATGGAGGAAACAGAAGTGTGAGCGCTAACTAAACTAGCATCAGCAGCCAAGTACTGCCTGTGTGTTCTGGACACTTCCACCCCGTCAGAGCGCTGCCCCGGGGTGGAAGTGTCCCCCGACCGCACAGAATGTTCTGATATTCATCATTAATTGTTCCTGAATATCCAGAGAGCAGAAAGTTCTACTGGGACCAGCCCTACTAGTTATTATAACAACTACGACCAATAATTAACAACTAATGAGCCTTCCAGCATCAAGCCCTCCTCGTATCTGGACCTCCGTCTGGACAATCCGACAGCCTTGATATCCGACATAGAAGAAGGTTTTACATTTAGTGTCGGATCATCGAGTCACTAATTGTATAAAAATCTACTCAAATCCATGAATCAATTCTCAAAATAGTTGGTGATTAATTTAATAGTTAACAGCTAGTTGATTAACTGTCATTACGCAGCAGGATGTCCTTCATCATTATCTGACTGTATTATTATTATTTCTTGTGCTTCTTTATGTCGGCAGGACTCTATGTCGTCAGTTTAAAGTTGATTTTTACTATTTTATCCACTAATGATTTGGTGCATCTTGTTTTATTCTTCACTCGTTTGTTTTGCAAGTAAAACCGTTTAACGTTACTTCAGATGTCAATAAAATCCAGCAGAATAAAACGTACAGTCTTAGTTTAAAACAAGAAAATATGGAAGAGTCGCTGATAACCATCTTGTCCTTAATTAAGAGCTCAGTGCCGTCACTTGGACGTGTTCGGTAGGTTTTTTGGATCTACTTTTCAGTAACACACAAAGTTCATAATCCATCTCCCCCCGCGTTTCTGCGCCCTCACTTGGTTTGCCATCTAAGAAATTTAATTTGAAAAGTTCTGAGCTGGATGAAAGCCAGTGGCGTCTGTGAAAGTCGGCCTCTTTTGAAAAGGAGAGAGCGATGTGCTGGAAAATGGGATGACATTCACGGTCGCTTGAGTTTTCCTTTAAGGAAGAAATGAAAAGCAGAAAAAAAGGGAAAGTTTGAAGGAGAGGAAGCTCCACAGAAATCTGAAGCGTATCCCGACACGCAGGCTCTACCTTTACGCTCCTGTACTGCTCGGCCGTGAATTTGTCGGTGCAGATGGGAGCTATGGGGATGAAGGCTCGGATCAGGGACGGGTGCTGCAGGAGGAAGTTGAGGGAGTACATCCCGCTGAGGGACGGGCTGATCAGCACCACCGGGCTCAGACCCAGCCGCTCACACACCTCCTTCAGGAAACTGGACGGAGCCACTTCTCCGACCGCCGCCGGAGCCTCGGCTGACTTGGACCGGCCGAAGCCTGTGGACGGAAACAGGACAGCAGACTTAGGGAGGAAGAAGAAGAGAGCAGCAGCAGCGAGGAAGCAAGAAGAGAGTCAAACATTCAGGGACCGTGTGGAAAAAAATCTTCTTCTTTCTGAGTAAACTCCCCTAAAATCAGATTTAAAGTCCAGTTATCGTCAAAAAACTGTCAAAATTACTCCAGAAACTGTAAAAACACTTTTAAACTGTCATTGTTGTCGTCTATACGACGGTCGATGAACTGTGATGTGGAAAGTTTAACCCAATCACAACTTACAGTTAAAATATTTGATCAAAATCGCTTCATTCTGCTCATCATACATAAGAACTGTTTGCACGAAGGAGATTCTATAAAAAAGCAAAAATCTTCCTGCTGTAACCGTGAAGTCACGAGTGACTCAGACGTCTAACTCTGGACTGAAGTGTTCACACAGAGCAGACCAGCAGGAGGCAGCTTAAAAATAAAAGTAGTCAAATGTCGATGTTGTTCCAGTCCAGGTGACACCTGTGTGCACCAGAGAACATGATGCACACGGTGAGTCCAGGTTTAGGACAAATCAATAATCAAAGAAATTCAAATATCATTTTTTTTTGCTTTTTTAAATTTTTGGAATCATGATGAGCTCTCTGCTTCTAGCCGTGGTAGTCAGGGGTCCACAGATGTGCAGAACTTTGAGCCCACAGAGAGGAGAGTTGTGACGGGAGCAGGGGTGTCCAGTCCTGGTCCTGGAGGGCCGCAGTCCTGCATGTTTTAGATGTTTCCTTCTTCCAACACACCTGATTCAAATGATCAGGATCGTTATCAGGCTTCTGCAGAGCTTCATAATGAGCTGATCATTTGAATCAGGTGTGTTGGAAGAAGGAAACATCTAAAACATGCAGGACTGCGGCCCTCGAGGACCAGGATTGGAGACCCCTGGTTTAGAGCAGGGATCTCCAACTCCGGTCCGCATGAGCTACTGTCCTGCAAGTGTTAGACGTTTCTGGAACACACCTGACTCAGATTAAAGGATCTCCAACAGCTTGTTGTCAAGTTCTACACAAGTCTGCTAGTGATCCATTAACGTCTAGAACCTGCAGGACAGTAGCTCACACGGACCAGAGCTGGAGGTCCCTGGTTTGGAAGGCTGACCGGCTCCAGGTCTGATCAGTTCTCAAGATGTGACCCCATGATTCAATAAGACGCCGCTGATGTTAGTGGTAAACATTACGTTCTGTCTAACTGTGAATGTGGGACTCTTCTGACTCCTGAACTTCTCGGTTCTGGCCTCCAGACTTGCCTGAAGCAGTAAAGTAGACCCAGTTAGTTCTGGAGGAGACCCACCTGGCAGGTCGATGGCGACCGCACGGCAGCCCGCTCCGGCCAGAACCTCCAAGGTGCCGATGTTGAGCCAGTTTTCTGAGGAGAAGCGAATGCCGTGGAGGAGCAACACCGACATCTTCACGTCTCCTGTGGCGGGTTCACTTTGTCTGTAGAACAGCGGCGCTCTGCTGCTCTCCAGCTGGACGCTGCCCTCCGTCATCTTAGCCGCCGACATCCTGAACACAGAAGGTTTCTGCAAGAGACGGCACACACAGGGCAAAGACTGCATTTAGACACACAGGGATGTGGTGTTTTAAATGATTTCTACATGCAAACAGCTTCTCAAGGACAGTGAAGGTTTCTAGTCTTTTAATTGAAGTTTGCCGGAGCAGAGTCCATGTGTGAGGAGAGAAATAATACAAATCTATTAGAAGAAATGTGTAAATAAATCCAGCGACGTGTCCCCGTTGGCTTTCTGTTTTTAAAGGCTGGGGACAGAGAAAGATCAGATCCAGGTAACCTTCGACTAATGAAAACAGTGACTCACTAAATAAACTGGGTCTGGTGTTTATTGAGCAACTCTGGATGGATGGAAAGTCCACATTTCATCGGGAAAAACCGGATCCACTTCCTTTTCCGACGTCTTCTGATTTACAATCGACGGATACAGAAATATTAAAAACACACATTTAAGCTTCTGTTTAGATTTAAGGAGGAGAAATAAACTCATGATCTGTTTTCTTTTTCAGTGAAAATACTGTATAGGTTTTATCGTCTTGTGTACATTTTATTACTTAATGTTATTTCCTGGTACTTTCTATATTTTTGGATGCTGCGGGATCAATAAAAATGATTCTATTCTAATAAGGTGTCTCTCTCTCATGTGGACTCAGATGTTTTCATGAACAACAAGCTGCATATAATCAGTTTTTTTAAAGAAAAGAAAAAAAGAGTTCACTGGCCGTTAATCACAGCTGACCTAACAGAGGAAACCTGTTGTTTTTATTCACTGGAGCCATTTTATTCTTCATGTGAGGATTGTGTTTATTTCAAATACAAATGAAGGCCTGTATATTGTGCTAAACAGAAGAAACTGACTATATGAAGTGGTCTAGGGTTCATACATGAAGCCAACAGGACAAAACTTTCCTCTGACATGAAGCACAAAGCAGCATGAAAACAGAAATCCTCGTTAAACTGATTCCTGGTCAACAGAACAACCTGAGCTCAGACCACAGCTTCCTGGCAGAGTCCCAACTCAAGATAAAACATTAACCTTCTTGCACTAGATCGCGCCGTTTTGCACAAAGTTGCTGTTATTTTCGCAAACGTGCGTTTTTCTCTGCGCGTAAAAACCAAAACCTCATCCATCCTTCATGTGTGGAGCAGAACCGGTTCAGGAGTTTTGGGGACAGATGGCAGGTTAAAGAGTCCGATCAAAGTCCACAGCAGATCATTTCACTCGTGATTTCTTCTCTCCACACTTTCATAACAAACACGATGAGAACATAACCCACCTGTCCTTCTTACCTGTTTGGCTCCAGAGACGATCAGCTGATTAACGCGCAAACTAACGCAGCGCAGTTTGGAGTTGGAGCAGCTGGAGTTCACTGGATCACCCGGAAAACAGCAGAAAGCAGCAGAAAAAACCCTCTGGAGGTTCTTCTACTGACGTCTAGCGTTGGTCAGCAGAACTGCTTGTACAGCAGCAGGAAGCACAAGTCTGTTCTGTTTTTGTTTTTTAGGTTTTTGTTGGATTTTTTTTGCAGACTGTTGAGTTTAGAGCTGATGCATGTTGCTGAGATGCAGAGATTCAAACAGCATGAAGCAGTTGGACTGATGTGCCACCGCTCATTAATGATTAATGCGGGTATTGATTGGCTGTGTTTTGGGGATAAGTCCCTCTGTTTGAGTAAGGGCTCAGTGTTCCTGCTGGGTTTCTGCTCTCTGCCTGGATCTCTACCACCACCGTGCTGGACTTGGTTTTTTTGTTGTTTTTCTGTTTGTTGCTTGATGTTTAGCAGCCAGCAGTCACAGGAGCAGCACCACAGAGCACAGATCTCCCTCTGACCTCCATCAAGTCACATAAAAGACTCTCATCTTCCTCCAAACAATGAAGCTGCTCCTGCTCTGTTTTCTCCTGACGCTCGGAGCGGCCGCCGGTAAGGACGTTGGACCACCTCTGGCTTTGACTGCTTCAAGTTATTTCATCGTCAGTGCTGCTGTGATGACTTTAATCTGAGTGTTTTTAGTGGTAGATCCAGAGGAGTGTTTAGGGAGAAGCTGCCTGAGAGATCTTAAAACTGTCACCTGGTCAAACACAAGCTGTCAGTTTGTAGGATTGTTGTGTGATGACTTGTACCAGTAGCTCTATATCATTGTGTTGTTGTTGTTTAAAGCTGTTTCTGGTCTTCTGCTGTCACAAACCAGCAGCTCAGTCCTGGTCCAAAGGTTGTATGTGAGCAGGCTCGTGCCCAAAATGTTCCAGCCGGTGCCACTGAGCACCTGTTGACACCAGGACTGAGCAGACGCACTGAGCGTGTTTTTGCACCAACAGGGTACCGCAGCGCCCTGAATGACTTCCAGCGCTCCGAGGGCCGAGAGCTCGTCCCCACCTCCTGGAACTCGGCTCGAGTGCAGACGTTACCGGGTCTGAACCTGGAGGACTGCGCCTCTCGCTGCTCACAGTCGCTGGACTGCAGGTATTCAGCCTCAAACACGACTTTAAGCCTCTGGTTGTTTGTTGCTCCTAGTCCTGGTCAGGGTGGGCTCATTGTTCACTGTGAAGTCCTGCAGAACTGTAACTAGAAGTAGAGAGAAGCCAAACGTGTCCTTCATGCTCTGGGACACAGATATTGTCAGAAATCATCGGGAACTTTATGTAATTTTACAAAAAAATGCAAAAACCTACAACTAATATGTGCAACACTTGTGTCCCAAGTGCACACAGGTGTTGTCAATATTACAAAAAAGGGGAACCCTGGACGCTATAAATAATCTGGTGACTTCTGTTTACGTCTGTACAACCGTTACACGCCAGATGTTTCTCACACAGCTCTGCACATCAACTGATGCTCAATGCATCTTCCAACACCTCGCTGACAACCTGCTCTTCTGCATCTTCATTTCATTGATTAAGAATTTCTAGTTTTCCTCCCAGTCAGTCTTTTTTTCTCCTCTCTGCTCCGTGTCAACAGTTCACCTGAAAAGTTCCTTATTTCTTGTTTAACGTCACATTTGGTCGGTTTAGTCAGTCCTGGCTTCTCGGTGGTGCAGAGAAGAGCTGAATTTTTTTGTTTTTTATGTTCATTCTGGGCAAATGTCGAAATAAGACACGTAGAACAGAATCATTTATAAGAAAAATCTTAATTTTAAGCTTAGATTTAGTCACTTTTCAGGTTCAAGAACGGTTAAAAGATTGTAATTTCTTTATTTCTGACAATTAAAAGAAAGAAAACATGCCTTTCAATCTTCACGGTGGTTTTTAGGATTCAGAGGTGGAGCAGGTGGATTTCTCTGAATCATAATAATGAAGAAGCTCAGAAGCCTAGAACTGCGTCTGGGTGTTTCTTTGTCTCTGAAGGCTTTCAAGCATCATCGGGCACCATTTTATGACAGAATCCACACAGAACAGGATTATTAGCTCCTTCTGTTCAACTTGTTTGACTGCAGAAATGGGACGACACTGTGGGTTGCCAGGTTGGACGGACACGTTTAAGTCAGTCGCCTTCGTAGCTGCAGAGCATCATCAGGCTCAGTAGTGACTCTGGGAGCTGCTAGTGTTTGACCTGCAACACAAAAGACTTTAATAATTAAATATTAGTCTGGTACCCTCATGATTAGACACCAAACCAACCGTGAACTGATCCTAAGTAGTGTTCATGTCCAAAGGTTGATAGAGTTCACTCATTATTGCCTAGAAACCTTCAGAAACGTGTTCATCTATTATGACGAGCTAAACAGTCACGTGGGGTTAAATCTGCATCAGAAACCGTCTGAATCAAGAACACAATCAGTGATGTTCATCTAAAACCGCTGTTTGGCATTAGTCAAAGAAACCAGTTTGATTTGTTCTCAGGCATCTTCAGGAGGAACCAGTGAGTTCTGGGATGATTCACACAGTCGGGACTGTTTTGTCTTCTGGTGGAAGTTTTAGGCAACCAGAAAAATATAAACAAGGATTCTTCAAGGACTGACGGTTTAATTTCACTTTACGTTAGTTATCGGTGCTGCAGCATGATGTTGGCGTGTTGAAGGGCTGAGAGGCCAGATGTTGTCAGACTCTCCTTCTGCAGAAAGATTCCTCAGAAGCACATTTCAGATAATTCTATTACAGCCTGGACCACAAGTTATTGTCATAGTCGGGTAGTTAGTTCAATATAGGACTGTAATGGCAGAATGACTTGTTCTAAACACAGAGCTAACGGGGCGACAGGTGTGCAGGCAGGTGATCAGACGGCTGGTTAACAAAGCAGTTATTAAAACACTCTGGTGTTAAAACAAATGGTAAACTATAGTACTTTTTTCTTTTTAAAATCTGTTTAAAAACAAAATGTAAGTTAAAAAATGTGCATCACACAAAAAAAATCCTTCGAACATCACTTCAAACTTCTAAAAATGTCGTTGAAGTTTCAAAACCCTGCTGGCTTCATCTGAGAGCTGCTGGCTTTAAAACAGTCTGTTAAATGTTAATCATGGTGGTTTTATTGGTATGACTTATTGTACGCGTGCACCCATCAGTGTACGAGGATCTGACTCAATAAATGTTCCTCTAAACCAGAGCTTTCAACTACGAGACTCGTCCGACGGTCACCTGCAAACACCTGCCGTGGGTGGGCGATGGCAGCAACGCAGAGGTCAAGAGGAACGTCAACTGTGACCTTTATGAGAAGAAGGGTAGGACTCACATTTAGTAAAGTTATAAAGATCAGTGTGAGAACCGCAGCCGTTTGATTTGTTTCGTCTGTTTCCAGTCTACGTGAGGAAGTGCATCGTGGGTAAAGGGGAGGACTACCGAGGGAAGGTCTTCAGCACAAAGAGTGGACTCACCTGCCAGCAGTGGTGGTCCAAGTTTCCTCACGATCACAGGTGAGTCGCCTCCGGTCTGAGGGCGAACAGAGAACGCTGAAGGATGTGAGTTTAAACACAACCTGGGACGGAGCTGCAGACGTGGCAGGAAGAGAGAATCCTGGCTGAAACAGTCGATGTCATGTTCTCAGCTCGGTTATCTGACCGAGTGTCAGTGCCAGGCCTCCAGAGAGCATCATCCTCATCCTCACTTCCAGCCTGTTGTCCTCAGAAAACCTTTGATAAGCAAAACATGACAAACAGACACCGTGAGCAAGAGCTGCAGAACGTCTTGAGACCAAATATTGGAGGTTATAGTCATCAGGTGGCCTGAAATACAACTCTAATCGGTGCCGGAAACGAGTGCAGATTCACACCTGAGAGTCAAATTAAAGAGATGAGTGGAGGAGTTTCTCTAAAGTTAATCAATAAGTCTGATAATTGAGCCAATCGCTGTCCATCACTATCCATAGATTATAAAAACAGCATCCAAGGTCGACGTAAACACCCTCAGATTAAAAGCTTTCATTGTGTCATCAGTGTTTCATTTCAAACGCGTCCTTAAACGGTGTCAAATCAAACTGTGTCTCAGGTGGACTCCAACATCCACTAACGGTCTGGAGCTCAACTACTGCAGGAACCCAGATGGGGATCGGATCGGCCCGTGGTGCTACACCACCGACGCCGAGCGGCGCTACGAGAGCTGCAACATTCCTCAGTGCAAAGACGGTAACGTTCCCGTACATCGCCGTGAGGAGGGAGCGATCGGTGGCGCTTCATTCACAGGCAGAGATGCTTCAGATGAGCTGCATCATTTATAAACAGAAAGAAAATACACATGAAAGAAGGTTTCATACCAGAGTTCAGTTCATGAGCAGAAGAGCAAACCAAAGATCCACTTAAAGTCTAGAAAACATTGGTTTATGTTGTTGGAAACTTCACTCCCTTGACTGCTTTGGTTGTTTTTCTCTTATTTTTAAGGACCCATGAGCACTAATTCCATACTTCCTGCGTGTTGGGCCGACCTGCTGACAGATCAGACTGTTATTTAGCTAAAACAGGGTTATTATTACCAACACAGTGTCACAGCTTCCCCACAATTAGAGCTCCAACTTGGATCCTTTTAGTCGCTTTCAAGGACATTATGTGGACAGCTGGAGAGCTGCACAATGACAGGGTTCTGATTCTGTTCACTTCAACGCTTGTTCTTGCAGAGGTGTGCATCACCTGTAACGGGGAGGACTACAGGGGCCAGGTGGACCACACGGTGAGCGGCAGAGAGTGTCAGCGATGGGACCAGCAGTATCCTCACCAGCACATCTACCAACCAGAAAAGTACGGCTTCCTTCATACCTGTTGTTCAGCCACATGATGGATGATGTGAAGTCAGATACCAGCTGGTTCAGTCCTCTGCTTGTTCTTCTGGATGTTAAAAAACCTGCTCATGTGTGTTTTTTTTTAGGTATCCTGATAAGAGTTTAGACGACAACTACTGCCGTAACCCCGACGCCTCTCCGGTGCCCTGGTGTTACACCACCGACCCCGAGGTGGAGCGAGAAAACTGTGAGATCAGCAAATGCAGTAAGAGCTTACTTTTAATTTATAAATAATCCTGGATGTGGGCTGCAAGGTGGTTCAGTGGTTAGCACCGTCGCTGGTCGGCGTCCCGGTGAGGACACCCGGGATCTTCCTGCGTGGAGTCTCCATGTTCTCCCCGTGCAGCGTGGGTTCTCTCCGGGTTCTCCGGCTTCCTCCCACAGTCCAGAAACATGCTGAGGTTAATTGGTGATTGTAAATTGTCCGTAGGTGTGAATGTGAGTGTGCTTGGTTGTCTGTCTCTAAGTGTAGCCCTGTGATAGACTGGTTACCTGTCCAGGTGAACCTGCCTTCACCCTGAGTCAGCTGGGATAGGCTCCGCCCCCCATGACCCTGGTGAGGATTAAGGTGTAGAGATGATGGATGGATGGATGGACGGGTTTTATCACTTTAGTTTCTCTTTTTTTGGACAAAATTGGACAAAACTAAAGATCTAAAGATGTAACTTTGGGTAATTCTAAACAAGCATTTTTCACTAATTTGTAAAGAAAACAAAATGATTAATTAGTTAATTAGGAAAATAATTGCTGGATTTTACAGCGGTGGAGATAATAGCAACCCTAGATATGACTGTAATATTTTGAAGGATGAATTTATTGGATTAAACCTTCTTGTTTGTTTCCTCTGTTGTTGTTTTTGTCATTTACTTCCCTCTGGCAAAAAAACAAAAACCTGAGAGGAAACAGGAGCTAAATTGAGCTGATTCCTGCAGTATTCGTAGACACGGTGGCATTAGGGAGTCTCATTAAGTCGCTGTAATTAAATCTAGAAAAATCACCTTTTAGGTGTTTGTGCAAATTGCTTTTCCAAAATGTGAGACGTCTCCGAGTCGCCCTGATGATTTAAGAGCCAGCGTGCAGGTGTTTGTCAGCGATTCAAGCCGCGTGGCGTCTGAGTGGGTTTCAGGTTCATTAAAGGTTAATTAAAATGTTTTTCTTTAATTTGTTTCCCTTTATACGGCTTATTTCAATTTCCATTTGGCTTGTGCCGGTCTTCACTGTCACAGAGCTTTAATTAAAGGTAGCATCGCAATTATTCTACAAACATGCGTGAAGGCAGCGCTTAGAGTTTGGAGACGAGGCCACGGCTGTTTGCTTCTGTTTATTCATCACAAAGTTGACGATGAATTCATTCCTCCTCTGATTCTAACTGAAATTGGGACTGTTCAATATTTAGGCAGTGACGTGGCGAGATGGAAAACAAACAAACAAACAAACAAACAAAACCCAATAAAAACAGGGCGACGCTGTGATTTCCAAAATTTCAACACGAGTTGTGCAAGTCGGCAGCAGCAACGTGGGCATTTCCCACCGAGAGCAGAGATCACTGGGGCACAAATAAACCGGTAAAACAGCGCCATCGTGTGGCTTTAACATGAATAACTTACATAAAACACAACTGATCACATTCTTTATTTTGTATCTGTACTGTTCTGATTTTATGCTATTTATTGAATTACTCTGATTATATCTCTGTGAAGCGCTCTGGTTGACATTTATTGTTTCAAGAACATTTATTGGACTTTAATTCTGCAACAAACATACACAAAAAGCCAACAATAATGTGTAATATCTTGTTATATATCACGACTAAGCCTGTTTTTCAAACATACAAGGCAACATCTACATTAAATGTGAGTTTCTTGATTTAAAAGAAATATCTAAGATTGTTGATTTACATTGATCATATGTTAGTTTCACTTGAGGAACCAAAAGTGTAGGTTTCTTGTTCATCCACATTCATCATGTTTACGTCACATGACTGTATTAATTCTCACATGACAGCAGACTTTGACAGATGTGATCAGATTCCTACCAGATGTATTTGAAGACTCACACAGATTGTCAATTTTGGTTTCAAAAACTTTGACTACGTTGTTAAATCTCCTCCTTCGACCTCAATTAAAATATCCAGAACCTCTGAATGTGCAGCTATATGTTCAACTGCTAGACACCAGATGTCTCTGCTTGACTGAAACTGGAGGTTAAAAGTTTGCATCCTGGATCGCTGCTGGTTTCAGAACTAATGTCAGTCATACTTCTACATCTTTACGGTGAGAGTTCAGGTGAGCGCCAGAGAAGTTCTGTTCCTTCTTTAATTAAATTTAAAGTCAACCTCCTAACGTCAAACTGCAAATACATCCTTTTGCAGAGTAGAGATAAAACATCTGAGTGTCAAACGCAGGACGCATGTCTGAGTGGATTCAGTTCCACACTTTATCGATGTTGTAAGTTTCAGACTGAGTCATACTGAACATG